TATTTTTAAAGGGTGGGGGGGGGGGTATAGAAATGATGACATAATTACTTAGTCGGGTCATTGAAAGTTTGACAGTTGTTGACAAGGGGAAAGGGTAAAAAATTGATTTAAAATTGTTGACGTAATTAATTTAGGCCCTATTTTTCATTTATTAAAATGTAAATATGCATTTATAAACTTTACTAGATACAAATCTGACAATAAATACTTTTTTATACTTAAGGTCCATAAATCTTTGATGTAAATATTTAAGATTGATATTTTTTTGCAATATGACAATATTTTCAGAAGATATATTACAAATAAATAAGCATAGGGAGCCTTTAGTAAAACTCTTCCATCTATTTTAACACATTTATTTTCCAGATTTCTAGCTATTTTTTTTTTTATTTGCGCTTTTAATCAACCAGCCCCAACCCAATATTTTTTTTAAATTAAAAAATTGTGTGTACCTTCTTCTGTGTGTACCACTACTAAATAGTGGAGATTCAACCAGGAGAGTCAACCAATTTTTTTTTTCAAATTTATCTCAGCTTCATCTACCTGAAGTATTGAATGAAATCGTGGAACGGCAGCAACACACCTTCATAAGCTCAATGTTTATTACTGTAACACTATTTACTTTGCATAGTGTGATAATAAAAAATATCAGCTGTTTGAAAGCTAATATAGCCCCTTTATGCACTAAAATTTCTTTTTAATTTTCTTTATCCAGCAAACTATGCCACAAAAGTAGGATAAAAAAGATTTTGATTTAATAATAATTGATGACATATATGCCATTAGTAGGCTAAGGGCACGATACAATCTTAATTTGTTTTTTTTTAAATGTATCGATTTTTCTTTTTTTAAGTTTAACATTTTTCTAGCTCAATCATAGAAAATTCGACTCAATTTTATTAAATTATATTTATATTTTTTAATAAGCCTTTTGACATTATGTAAATGACTATTAACATCCTACTCTATTTTAAAAGTTTATATCATTTTAGTCAGAAATAGAAAATTTAAACAGATTGCCAATGTTTAATACTTAGCAATAATTATTGCAAAATATTGTAATTAACCCTATATGGTGCACTATACTTAACAACTGAAAAAAAAAAAATTCCCTTTAAACACAGGTCTTAAATAGGATATTAGTTAAGGTTCTGAAGTTATTTTTGATAAAAAATTTTAAAATAATGCTTTTGTAATTTGTAGCTATGTTGCCAAATGGCAACAGTGTACCGTTGTGGGTGGATAACTCAAATGTTGCCAAATGGCAACAAATCACTGTAATAATAACATTTACACTAAAAACAAATGTTAAATGGAAATATTTAAGAAGAAATGAGAGAACAAGTTTAAATATTATTAAATCATTTAATGACTGTTCTACAAAATTNTTTGTAGCTATGTTGCCAAATGGCAACAGTGTACCGTTGTGGGTGGATAACTCAAATGTTGCCAAATGGCAACAAATCACTGTAATAATAACATTTACACTAAAAACAAATGTTAAATGGAAATATTTAAGAAGAAATGAGAGAACAAGTTTAAATATTATTAAATCATTTAATGACTGTTCTACAAAATTTTATAGAAAATGTTTTTATACAGAAAAAACAATTTTTATGGTAGATGGAACTTTCGAAAACAGTTGGATCTTTGTGTAAGGCACAAATGCACCTTACACTTCTCACATTTTACTCTGGCATAGCCTTTACAGCCAGGCATTTTGCAGCGACCCTTATCAGGAACAGATAGAGGAAAGTGGCCTACATTGTCAGTTCGAATAGGAAAAATTGGAACCTCAGCCGTGGGACCTCTATGTTTTTTTGCTTGTATCTGTGGCTCAATTTCTATTGAGGGTCGACCACGTTTCTTTTGATTTTGAATTTTGTTTTTATTCATCAAGCACTGTGCGATGTCTAGTTTAAACTCTAGTAGAGACAATTTTGTTGCTTCTGGTAGTCCTGTATGCTTGAAATCTTGACCATAAATCAACCATGACTGAACAACAGCCAGGTCAAAGATATGAAAAATAATTCTGTGATACCATTTCTTAGATCTGATTGGATTTCTATATAGGGCTACAAGAGAATCCAAGAGGTCTACTCCACCCATGAAACTATTGTACAGACTGATTATAGAAGGACAGTCTACCTCAATTTCCATCTTCTGCTTTTTGTCCCAGCGCTTAACCTTTTTCACTGGCTCTATACTCGCAAAAGTGCTAAGTAGAGTAACAGCCTTGTTGTCGACCCATTTGACCACTTTTAACTCGACATCATCAAAAGATCCAGTTTTTAAGAGACTGGTACCTCTGCCATTTTTTGAAAGTTCCTTGTCTGAAGGAAATGTACAGCCCTTCAGTCTGTTGGAACGTATAGTCCCAAGAGAAGCTATGCCATCCTTCCAAAGTGTAGCTTGTAGGGGAATAGAATTAAACCAATTATCGAAATACACTTCGAGGAACATCATTAAGGAGCCGAAGAACAATGTTAGATGATGCCCCCAAGTCAGGTTGTCCTGGGCATGGATTTATCTTCCCTGTGTAAAGTTCAAAATCGTGTATTAGACCGTTGTGGCCAGAACAAACAAACACCTTGTAACCCCACTTTTTAGGCTTTTTGGGGTTGTATTGTTTCAGGGATGATTTCCCTTTAAATGGTATAACCTGCTCGTCAATACTTAAAAGTTTTGATTTGGGCAAGCTGTTGACCTTGGCCTTGAAAGCATTGACAATAAATTTTATTTTGTGCAATTTATCTCCATTGGCTTCTTCGTTATTTGCAAAATGAAGATTTTTTTTAATCTGCTCAAAACGTTTTTGACACATGGTATCGGCTATATGCGGTATCCTTGTTTTAGAGCCCCAGTACAGACGGGCTCGTGGCAGTTTACATATACTCATATAGAAAATAATTCCAAAGAATTGCTCAAGTTCATCCTTCGTAATGTTCAGTGGACGATTAATGTCCTTTTGAATACTGTATCTATTTGACTCTTCCATGATTTTTTCTAGAATCTCTAGATCTATAATACTTTTGAAGTATTCTATGGGGGTACCAGGTGTCTCAGGTTCCCTTTCCTTGCCAAGGAATTCTGGAATGGTAGTAGTTATTTCAGCGCCTTCCTTTCGCTGCTTCCAAAAATCTCTAGATCTATAATACTTTTGAAGTATTCTATGGGGGTACCAGGTGTCTCAGGTTCCCTTTCCTTGCCAAGGAATTCTGGAATGGTAGTAGTTATTTCAGCGCCTTCCTTTCGCTGCTTCCAAATTATTCCTCTGGAGCTGCCGACTGAAGCTTGTGCCCGTGCTGCAGCTTCATCTTGACTTTCATCTGAAATTTTAAACACCAGTTATAGTTATAGAAATAAAACACTACCGGTATAATTGTAATTCAAACATCAATACATGTTTCTTAAAATTATTTATATGCAATCTTACAAAATATTTATGCCATGTATTGCTAAATCATTTACATTTTTTTAAATGCCAAAATTATATTAGTAGTATAATTACACTATTTATACTGACTATGCTTACCATCTGCTTCTGAATCAGAACTATTAGAGTTAGAAACAGTTGGGACATCACTCTCTTCGTCAAACTGGTCCTCTTCATCTGAAGAAAGTTCGCTGTCCTCCGAGTCCTCTGGCAATTCTCTAATATGAACTGTATTTGCTTTTTTACCATAAAAACTTTTGGGGTCCATAATCTGTAGAGAAAAGTGGGGAAAGTATTTTGATTTATATCTTTAAATTTAATAAATAGGCCTACACTGCCTACAACTTTTAGTTTTGTTAGTAAAAATATTGATGCTTTCACTTTCACTATTATCACCATTACATTATATTATATAATTATAATATTATAGTGTATACCTGTATGAACTGTATTAACTATAAATAATAAAATGTAAGATATTAACTAGATGGTTATATACAAAGTTCCTTATTAATTTGTAATGGAAATGAAAAAAATGTACACTATGTAACTATGTTGCCATTTGGGAACATACTCAAAAAGAAACCTCTATTGCGCTATGAGTACAAATGGCAACATACCGTTAAAATTCAAACTAAATATAACTGCATGAGTTCCATTCGAAAATGATAGTTATATACATTCAAAATTGAATGTTTTATATTACAATATTTTTTAAAAGCATAAATGCATGTTGGGGAGTGAAATATTAATTATTTAAACTTACCTTATCAGTGCTGAACAAAAGTGAAGAGACACGCCACAAATTTGATCTCTGACTAGGCTTGCTTAGAACACAAAGGAAAGTGTAATGACGTCAAACGGTTAAAAATAGAACAAATTTGAAGGGAGGCCACTTAAAAATTAGTCCTGATTTAAATTTACAATTCTTATCCCTCTTTGATAGGAATGTTGCCAAATGGCATCACTGCACCATATAGGGTTAAGACTTTTCAATGATTAGCCAAATATTTAAAATTGAATAACTAGATTTGCCTCAAATATTCGAATTATTAATCATATCGACCATCGCGAGATTTCAGTAGTTCCACGATTTTTCTTATTTTACTAGGTGAAGGTTACCATTTACTACTTTTTTTTAAAAATCGCCCCCCACAACGCGGAGAGATGTATGAAGAATACACTGCTCATAAGAAATGTATATTTTAAAAATCTAATTAAAGACAAGACTGAGGCTGAAAGCTAATGGGCAGAACCGTGTAACACACATAATCACATAACGATTACGTACATTACAAATCTCATATGCCGACGAACGAAGCGTCCAATCAACTTCAATCTTGCACTTCCTTTGACTTCCAATAACAACGCCTTGATTTTGTCACGTGACTGAAATAGCTCTCCGGGTCCAATCAAAATCCTTTACTGTTTTACTCTGCAGCGATACATTTGCATAGAGCAGTGTGGCAGTTGCTAGTAACATTGTGCTATGACTTTTTGATTGATACTAATCATAATCATAATCAACCATATCAAGCTCAACAATGAAGTTTTAAAAGAAAGCCTCTATATCTCAACAATTACAATCGTACAATGAACAACAATGCCCACATTGGATTAAAAAAACGGGGTTCAGTTCAAAGTAAAGTAAAGATCAACTTTCGATATCAATATCACAATAAAATATTCATTTTGTGATGACGTCAGATGTTAAAATTTTTATTGATCTAGTTTATCAGGTTAGTAAATATTAAGATTGATATTTTTATAATGATATACAAGACCAATTGTTTTATAGAAAATAGACATCTGTATTATGTGATGATATGCAGTTTGAGTTGGTAACGTTGTAATGTGTCATTGTCATTTTCATGCTCAAACGTGATTGGCTGTGCTATGTAGCAGCTATCCTATTTCTGTTCGAGTGGGAGGGGATATTGGATAGAATTAGAAAGTGAAACGTCATTATAGTTATAGCATTTTAAAATACAAGATTCCAAAACTCGAACTCAATCATCAAAAGGGTTTACGTAAGGGACTTCAAATCATATTGTCGACAAGTACCCACTTACTAAACTTACTAGTTATTTCAATGGGCCTTTTTTTTTTTAATACAAAAATCATAACACTAACACTAACATACACATTATCTAATAATAGACTGATTTTTTAAAATATATAATTTATATTATAGAATTATACCATTGAATGTAACTGTTTAAGTAGTCGAATAAACTAAATTACTAATTAACTCTTTAGTCTTTAGTGTCAAGTCAATAATTTTAAACATGATTTTTTTGTTGTTGTTATTGTTAAGTCCCTAAATCTAAACAGAGAAAGATATATAAATAAAACAAAAAATGTATAGATCTAGAAATAATTTAATTTGTTCAAATATAGCCCACTTAATAAGATGGAGGTTCAAGGTGATGGAGTGTTTCTTTTCACAGTGCAAAAACAAAATTAAACTAAGATTAAGATTTATATTATACATTATAAATTATACATCATAATATTAATATTAAATATTACGTAGGTTGTTCATTTAATTTTTATTAGATTAAATATTATTTATTAAATGATTTAGCTTCTTAAATTAACACATTTTAATTTAGATTTTTTAGATGGTGGCTATGGACCATGGACATGGTGGATATGTTTTTTTTTTCCACTTAATAAATGTATTAATATAGTATGACACTATTAAAAAATTCAAGACTATTGATTTAAAATTTTTATAAGTATTAAATTTATCAAAAAGCCTGTAGCCCTAAATAGCCTTCTGTGAAGGCCCTACTGTTCTTGTATTTGAAATTAAATCTCTAAGACCTTCTTCAAATTAAAATGAGTGTATCTAAAATAAGTGGATAAGTATGTTAAAACAGCACATCCAACAAATAACTGGCCAGTGGTACCATCAACATGTCATGTGGAAAAAACCTTAGGACTTAGGTTTGGCTCAATAATATTATGTGAAAACAGCTAAAATTAGTTTCAAAGGAGCGTCAATGTTTAGTGGTGTTAAGGGGGATGTTATGCCCTATATTTTTTTTATTTTTTGTCCCTTCCATATTAAGTTTTAGATTCTGTTTATGTGGTTTTGATTATTCCTAAATCATTTAAGACAGTTACATAAGGCACATTAAGTTTAGTAAAGATATCTACCATATTCTGTGGTTGAAATCATAAATAGAGTTATAGTATTAATATCTCTGTTATATGCTTCCTGTCTATCTTATAGTGTTGCATAATGGTATTTTTAAATTGAGTTTTTCATATTTTGGTTAAAATATAAGCATTCTATGCCGAATATTAAATTTCTTGTAATTTTTCCTCTGAAATTAGTTGGTGAACCATTTCATTGTAGCAGATGCAAGATGGCATGCTTATCCCAAAAAATGGTAGATGAACACACCTGTGGGAACTCATCATTTGATATCCAAAAGGTGAAGACAGAAATTTGTGATCAAGTGTTAGAAATGTGCACAGCTGATGCATCAGAGAATAATTCACACCCATTAACTGCAGGCAGGTCTCTTTTGAATGCAGTAAAAAGGGAAATAAAGGAAGAACCAAAAGTTATACAAACTGCTTTGGAAATTACCAAACAAAAACAGTGGAGAAGAAGTAAGAAAAAAACATATGTTCAAACTTCTGTGAACATTGCACCAAAACTAATGCCAGCAGTCAATATAATCGATCCTGCTGTAGCATCTCTCACGTTGGCTGCTCAGTCTGAAAGAAAAAACGCTCTGTTGAAACCAAAGAATTCTGTTAGTGAATCTAACATCAGAATTGAACAAGTTTTTTATACTGATCCAAATCAACACCAAAATCGTGAGAGACAAGTACCTTTTGGTCCTGCAGTTCTGACTAAGAATCTCACATTGACAAACACAACTAACTGTGATACATTTTCGTCCTTACCAACTAACATGCTCAGCAACACAAACATGCTCAGCAACACAAACATGCTCAACAACACAAACGTGCTCAGCAACACAAACGTGCTCAGCAACACAAACATGCTCAGCAACACAGTTGTGCCAAATTTACAACAAAGCTCTTTTTTACTAGGGAGCATTAATTCTGTACAGCATATGAGCTCACTACAGCCTCCAAATATCATTCAAGGTTTGCAAAATATAAATTTTGTTCCAGGGGTTCAGGGTTTCCAGTGTTTAAACCTGACTCAAAATACCTCACTGGCTCTGCACCAAACATATACACAAGAAGTGAACCAATCAGCACGTGAGCCAGTTGTGGGTATTCAAGCATCACCAAGTTTTCCAATACTTCTTGGTAATCAAATTTTCTTGGTGGACGCTGCAACATTGCAACATATAAATTCTGGTCCAGCTGGAAGCATGCAGCCTCCTGTTGTGTTCACAGATTCACCTGCAGTTTCATCATTAAATCAAACCTCCACTAGCCCTGATAAAAGTATGTCCATGGACAAAGAAAGCAATTTTTTTACAGAGAAATTTAGATATAAAGCTTCAGAAAAGAGGAAGAGATCAGACAGAAAAGTTTCTGCATTAAAACCAGCTACAGAAGATTTAGTAAGTAGAACTTCTGATAATTTACTGGTACATGACTCCAAATCAAAAGTTAATAATAAAATGATAGTCAATGCATCAAATAATCTGCCTATCCAGAATGAAGCTGCCAAAGCTATTGCAAAGAATTCATCAAAAGTTATCACTGATAATAAACTAACTTCAACTTCCAATTTTACAACCAGCAACTTAGTGAAACAAACTGAGCAAATGTTTAATTCTCTTAATCTACCTATTTCCAGTAATGTGTCTCAAAGCCCAATGGTTAATCCATTGGTACAGCAGACATCTTTCATTCTTCCACATCAGCCAAATGCTAATTTTTTACCAACCACATATCCATTCTCTGGTAATTTTCTAAATCTTGTAAATAACCCAGGACTAATAATATCTAATGCACATAATGATTTCCAAAGATCTATTCAAGACCAAAATATCCCTATTCAGAATATTACAAATAGCAATTGCTCAATAACAGGAAACATTGCTATAGTTTCATCTGTAAGTAATCCTCTCAATGTGCAACCTGGATTGCTAAGCAGTCAGGCCACAACTGTCAAAACCACATTTGTTTCCATCTCACCAAAAGTTGTGCCATCTACAGCTAAGAATAAAGAAGAACCAGCCTCAGGCATGGTTGTGCCAACAAGAATTTTCCCTAAAGCATTAAAATCTTTCACACTTTGTAATAAGGAATCACTAAAAATAAATGAAGAACCTCCAGCTACTACCAGTAATTTATTTAAAAGTAACAACTCCAGGAAGATGGCCTCAAAGTTTGGTCCAAATACACCAAATGCCAGGTCTGCAGTCCGCATCAAGCAACTAAAAAAAAACCGAGACATTCCGATGCCAATCAAACCTCTCGATAAGTCATCTAAGACATCAGAAAGCTTAAAAGTACTCTCTGTTGGTGATAAAATGATGCTGCCAACATTGACAGGCCTGCAGCCTGATCTCCAGGACCTGTTTGACAAAGAATTTGGAGGGGGCAGCACTAGTCAAAGTGGACGAGTTCTAGTTGGCCCCCTCACAAAGACAGAACTTGATGAAATTATGAAAAATCCAGCTGAGCTTAAAAAATATGTAAACATTCCTACTGATCAGGTTGTCATTGCATCAAAAGCTCTAGCTGTTTCTAACATGTCAAAAAGTTGTTATCCGTTTGATACTAATTCTAAGCTGCTTCAAGGTCTTCCTAATGACCAAGGTGCACCTATTAAAATAGTTGACACTTGTTCCAAATTTATACAAGTTCTTCCTAAAACTGACAAAACCATGCTTTCTACTTCAGCAGAACCTTCAGACAGCATATCTTTCCATTATAAAACTACAAATGACGGTGGTCAAGTATTGATGGAACAAAATCAAGTTTCCATTCCTAGTTCTGAATCCACTGCACGCAGCTCTAAAAGCTCAGACCAAAAGAAACTGGCACCCAAAATAAATATTTCATCTGTTGTTGAAGAAACAAAAAAGAAAGAAATTAGGATTATGCCTAAAAAAATTAATGAAATAGAAATTTTAAACATAGACAGCTCTCAGGCAAAAAGTTACCCAACATATGAACTAGCACATGTCAAACAAGATCCTTTAAATGGTGTAATGAGGCTTTCATTTGAAGGGGATATCAGCCTGCTCAAAGACTCGCTTAGAAGGACTACAGTGCCTCTGCATAAGTTATCATGTGGACTAACGGATATTGTCAAAATAAAAAGGGCTAAGTTTACATTTGACAGTGTTCCAGTGTATTCCAATGTTAAACAGACAGTAACCATTTTAGACCAGAATATTCCAAAAAAGAGAAAACTACTTCATTGTAGCAATCATCCCACACAAAAGCAATGGGTACCAACAGAAGTGATTGGTGATCTGAAAATGAATGGTCACATTTTAGAAGGACCTATTTGTAACAGAATAAAAGATAATGGAAAAAGGAAAAGTTTGAGAATAAATGGAAAACCAATATATAAGTATACTGACAACGAAATATCTTTATCTGATGATGATTCTGAGCTTGAGATAGCTAAAATTGAAATTGAAAGCTGCAAAAATTCTAAAGAAGGATGTGAAACTCTGGAACATGTTAAAGATACAAGTATTACAAACAAGATTTCAGTTCCAGTAGAAGACTTATATGGGTCAAATACACAAGGTTTAGTGCAGTCTAATGAAAGGAAGCCATCTGAACAAATATCAAATGTCCCTGAAGATATAATTTTGGAGACAATGTTGCTGAACCAAGAGCAATTGCTAACAGTGTCTCTAAATAAAGATGAAAATGCTCAAAATATAGTAAAAACACTTCCAGTATCTTCATCTGAGACACAAGAAAGTAGCATCAATAATGAACATGGTGACAGCTGTTACAGCAGTTCTGAAAGTGATTCAGATATGTTTGACCTTGACGCTGATCTACTTAGCAAGAGTGAGAGAAAAAAGCTGATGCTTAAACATCACAATGAAGTTACAATGTTCTTAATTAAGAATTCTAGCAAGTTTTCTTCCAGGGGAGAAAATGAGCATTATTGTAACATCTGCAATAGATACAAGACTAGTGGCATTTTTAACCTTGGCAAACATCTGAAAAAGCATCTACAAGGCTTGCTGAAATGTCCCAAGTGTTCATTTGAAGCATGGAGTGAGGATGCCCTTAATCAACACCTTGTCAACCATCGCTAGGAATAACACAGTGGTTTTGTAAGTCAGAATGAGTAAACTATTACATTGTGATAGTTTGCTTAGGATCATATTGTGCATGACAAAGGGGGCATGCCCAAAAACTCAGGTATCCAGATAAAATTTCATGAGTAACCTTCTTCTGTGTGTACCACTACTAAATAGTGGAAATTCAACCAGGAAAGTCAACCACTTTTTTCAAATTTATCTCAGTTCCATCTACCTGATGAATTGTGTAAGGGCAGCAACACATCTTCATAAGCTCAATGTTTATTACTGTAACACTGTTTACTTTGAATAGTGTCCCATGGGAGTTGGAGACCCATGGCTTAATTAAACTACACTTAAAGTTACTGACAAAACTTTTTTTCTTAAAAAATGTTTTACATAATTTTCAGTCCTACTGTGAGAGCATCATGTGATATGAAGGATTTTAATTGAAAAACCTATTCTGTTTGTGTCTGTAGTAATGAATTAATATCCCAGACTCTTGGACACCACAAGAAAGCAACTGTGGTTTACCATTGGGGCCAGAGTAGCCATTAGTGCAATTGGGTGTGGGGCCAAAAATAACTCCAATCAATCCCAACCTCTTCCTCAGGGAACTGTTCAAAGTTGTATGTCTCACATGCCACTTCACTACTCATGCAGCGATGGGTAGTATTTCTGCTATTCCTATTATAAACTCTGGCAAGTCAAATTTCGGTACCTTTTCCTTAAGCTATTTGTTAAAAAGTACAATGCACATCATTTTTTTCCTGTGTGGTGTATCGAGTATCAAACGATATCTTTAAAACTATATGGACGGATGAATATGGAATTATAATTGATCTGTGCATGAAATCTTATATTATGTAAAATCTTGTGGGTGATCTCTTACAGAATGTCATGAACCTTTTTTTACTCAGTTATCTCATCAGTTCCTCTGCTGTAGGGTAATCAAACGTCCCGTTTTTTCACGCTCGTACCAGGTGTCCCGAAAGTCTCTCTGGACGCCTAAATGCTCCGTTTCTAAAACCAAACACATTTTCAAATCCCTAAAACTTCCTTATTTATAATATAACTTCAAGTAATATTTTGGCTAGCTGTGTAGCCAGTGCCAGTAGTGACGTAGGCTCACGTGATGTCTACACTGTTCCCCCTCCACAACTCTGCCGACGCTGCTTAAAAGACATTGTCCCTGCCATATTCACTGTAAAATTGTTTTTGATATGCCTCAGAGTTAAAATCAAATTACAAAAGTGAAGGTAAATTACAAAAATTTCCAGGTCTCAAAATAGTTTAAAATTAGCATATTTAAATAAACAGTTTCTGGCGGAGGCCCCCTGACCCCTCTTCAGCTGGGGGGTATCCACCAAACCCTCCTTGGGTGTGTCCTGTTTTTTCCAGTTCAGGATTTGGTCACCCTACTCTCTGTCAACTTATCATTACTCTAAATTAAATTTAGTGGCATACTTTTAAAAAAATCATCTTATTTGACAAGGTGTGCCATAAGGATGTATTGGTTTGTAAAAACTAAATAAAGTTATCTAGTTTTTCTCAGCTTCAATCACATAGTGACATGTATTGCATTACAAAATATTTGGTAAACCAAATTTACAATATTACATAGCTGCAATATCTTTTTCCTTTTTATATTTTACCCTCTTTATTATATCAGTTTTCGTTTGTGACATGTGCCCATTTTATTCTTTTCTTTCCTATTTAGGTATAGTAAGGTTATACATATATTATGCAAATTTAATTTATAATTACCCTATTTATTGGCGTATAAACGCCCCCGGGTATAACACGCACATCAATTTAAGAAGGAAATTTCAGGTTAAAAAAACTAAACATTATATCGGCGTATAACACGCACACATGATTTGCCCCCTATTTTCGGGGAGAAAAAGTGCTTGTTGTATGCCAATAAATATGGTATATTGTTTTTTGATGTACAGATGAAAGCATTTTCCAAAATGTTTGAATTTGTATCCGTCTCATCAGTGAAGCCTAACATATAGTTTTATTTTTTACAAATTGTGTCTCATTATCTTGAAAATGAAAGCACATTGAATTCATTGCCATGTTTTCTGTACATACTTTAAAGTGAAAAGCTATGGCAGATAGCAAGACTTACCAGTAAGCATCAGATTCAGAGACAAGTTAAGTTTTGAATCAAATTTTATTGATAGATATATATTTATTGTATGTATAAACACTTATGTGCATCATTTCATGACAAAACAGCAATCCCTAAGATTTCTCTCTTTCAAACAAGCATTCTTTTGTTAGTCAAATAATTTAAATTATGTATTGTTTAAAAAATGAGAATAAATGTTTTAAAATCATAAGCTCTAGATTTGTTTAGCTCTTGATGTATGTCAAGTTTTTAAAAAAAGGTGTACTCATATGAATATAAGAGTTTTTGAGGGAAAAAACACTATATAATATTACCATTATAATTTTATGGTAACAATAGTCCACCAGAAATTCTCCTCTTGATCAATAAAATAAATGTGATTATGTCATTTGATGATGGTGACAACTAATAGAGCCTTTTTACAACATTTTACATAATCAAAAGCTTTCAATTAGTCCCAAACACTGTCTTTGTCATTGTAGAGTGTGTGGTTTGTGCCTAATCAGATAAGCTAAAATTATAGAGTGTCTAGTCAGTCTTTTAAAAATAAAACTTTCATTTCCTGTCTCTGTAAATCTTATAATTTAGTGGAATCCAAAATGTTGGATTGTGGCACATATTAATGTTCATGGTTATACTTGTAGGAACCATCTATTAAAATTATTGTTGTTAAATTTCGGAAAGGAAAATTCAGATCTCGTTTGTTTTTACAAGAGATAAATGATTGGTCTCCACCACAATGAATGTGTTACATAAGTTTTTGATCCACAGACAAGCACGTTTTGAGCACATATAAAAAGTTCACCCATATTTTCCAAATAAGGTACTTTGTGTTTGAAAGCAATACACTCTATTTTCTTATGTTCTATTCAACATTTGTTCTAATGAAATAAAGGAACGCATGTAACTAGTAGGACATTACGGCAGACCTACAAGATAAATAAAAAAATAATGTTGAAACACAAATAATTTCCGGGGTTGATGTTTTCTTGCATACCTATGTTATTAACTAATAAATCAATTAATTGAAAGTTATTATGTAATAACTGAACATGCTTAAAAGAATTACTTATAAATGACTGAATTAAATCATGCTGAAATAGATTTGCAAAAATAATTGTAGTTTTAAAAAAAATATAGTTTGAGATTTTACATCACCCGTTTGATATTACAGAGAAAAAGTAAAACACAAAAATCAAACTATTTAAATAAATTTTAAAAAAATCAAGTAAACATCTCGAATATGGACACTAATTAAAAAAATACAATATATTCATTTTGATTACTATTTTATGCTACTTGTTTAAGCTTATTTAATTTTTAAAAAAGCCTTAGAATATAATATTATTTAATACATAGAAATCAGGACTTGGTAGCACAATCTCCCACTTGCCCTGGAAAAAAATTCTGGTAAATTTTAACCTTTGAGATACAGTGCAAGCAATTTTAACTAAACTAAAGCATTTCTTCTTCTGTTTTATTTAATAGCCAAGTTTCTATTCATTAAACATTTCAACCAAGATGCATAAAATGTATCAAGAGTCAGTCTCTTATGAAGTTCAGATGTTTCTCCTTAGTCACCAAAAAAACCAAAAAATCAACAAATCCTAAACAAACAAGATCTGCTATGAAATCAGCTAGTCAGGATTTATTTTTGCCGAGGAGTGGGTGAAATGTCCATAGCAGTTTCGTATAGCTGTGATAGTTCCATGAGGTGCATTTGTTTGTTACCAGTAGCTGCAGCAGCTGAAGAGAAGCGACCAGCATACCTAAATATTAAATAAATGAACAATAAAATGTAGGTTCAGTTTAAGTCAAGAAAAAATTTCTCCTAATTAACATAATTTACTATATTTGATATATGAATGATTGCATTGCAAATCACATTTTTAGCCTACTTTTTAGTATTGAAAAATATGGATAAGTTGTTAACAAATAATGAGTTGCTTAACAATTTAATAAGTTTCATAATATTTTGTCAATAGAAAAACTTCTTCTTCTCCTATTGCTAAGAAAAATATTTAGTTTGAAGAATTGTCCCAATATTAAGATGACAAATTTGGGTAACAAGCTAAAACTTAACACCATATAAAAAATGTATTAACTAAATAATAAATAACTTGTACTTATGTCCATGGTAATTAACAGTCCCAATTATTTCCATCACCTGCATCAAACCTGGTTTGTGTTGGTTCTTTATTTAAAAACTTAACTTTTCTTAACAAATTAATGACATTGGCATATTTTCCTCAAACTATTTAGATGATAGATATAGTTATACAACTTACATTTGCACATTTTAAAATATTAAAAACTTTTTTAAATATCTAAAATGATATTAAATATTCAATTATTTTTAAAAATAATAATTAATGTGCACACAAAAAATAAGTCTGTGAGTTTAGTCCCTTAGGTTGAAATATAACTAACTGTCATTAGGTCTACTGGTTATATAAATGAGTCAATTGTTAAATTAGGGTTTTTTGGTTGTTATTTTTTTTATTGTTGCTTACTCTATTTTTCTGTAAATCCCTTGTTTCCTAAGCACAGTCTTAATGCGTGGTCTAATGTAACTCCAGGCTCCAGCATTTTTGTGCTCCTCTTGTGCCCAGCATACTTTAGCTTTAGGGTATTTCTCTAGCTCAACTTTCACCAAGTCAAATGGAAATGGTGTCAGCTAAAGTTATAAGGAACAAATAGTTTATACATTTATATCAAGTCGAAACAAACTTTAAAATCCATTTCATATATCTCAGCAAAATAGTAACACATTAAATTCTAATTTTGTAGAAAATTATTTTAAGTGGCCATAATTTTTAAAAAGCCTATAATAGTAAAAAATGAAATTCCTACATTTTACTAAAATATTTAAGGCTCTACATTGATTATAAAAAGCACAAGATTCACCTGAAAACTTCTTAAAATGAACAGAAATTTCTTAACTTTACTGTAATAAACTTTAAAGAAAGCTATATATGAAAATAAAACACCTGCATTTATGCAAGCATGACCTAATTTTCATAAGCCTTGGAGTTCTTGCATTCTTGTAGTTTTTTGAAAAGTCAGAATAGGCAAATGGGATTTAGCAGAACAGTTATTAACCAGAGGTCTCTGGTAAAAGAAGTCAACTAAAATTATGAAAATTCCTCATATTATGTCACATTTATAATAAATTAAATTTCACAGGACCTGGGCATTCCATTTAGGGTAGGATCAATTATTTAAAAAATGGTTACCTTTATAAATATTAAAGATTGTAATCCCAAGTATTATAGCTACACACTTTTTTTATTTTTGAATAAAAGATCCTAAGTTTCAAATAGATTATAAGCAACAATATGGTAAATTACATCAATTCAAAAACATGGTCCTTCCTTTTTGAAAATAACTGCATATCTATTGAAGCTCAGATAACATCTTTGTTATTGTGCACTGAAATAAGATTGTTTGCCAGAGGTAGTCCATAAATACATTGTGTAAGGTCACTTAAAAATGAATTATTTTCCTCACTTAGAAATGAATTATTGTCCTAGTAGTATTATTCCTAGACTTCAAGAAGAAGCCCTCTATCACATGATTAAGCATCTTTTTTTGAAAAAATGCTATATTGTGAAAAAATTGGAACAACAGGTTCCAAGTAATGCCAATAAATCAGTCTTTTCAGTTTTACTTGGCTAAGTTTAATGTTAGGGTGGAGTTTAGGTTAGGTTATACCAAAAATATAATTTACAAGGCAACAAATGAAATGTAGAGATAATGATTATTTTTATATTGCTTAGATTGAGTTCATACTAACTTAGCTTCTGTAGAAAATAAATGTTCAGTATGGTACTTTATGGGTTCATAGACATATTTAATGTTATACACATGTGGGTTTTTTCTTTATTACTTACACAGTTTATCTGTTTAAATAGTCTATCTAACCCCTACTGCACAGTGTAGCTTAAATTCAGGAGTTCCAAAGAAAAAGACTTTCTAACTAACAACCCACCTGTTCCACACGAGATATAGCAATAGCTTCTTGGAGGTTCTTGGATTCCCTCTCTTTAATCAACTCATAATAAATTTTTCCTGTGCAGAATATAAGTTTCTTAACACCATCTGGGTTTTGAGCTGACTTTCCACTTTCAGGAATGAGTCGCTGAAAACGAGTGCCTTCAATCATATCGTCAAAGCTGGAGCGGGCCTCAGGCAGACGGAGCAGAGATTTGGGAGTACAAACAACAAGCTGACAAAGAAAGACAACATTTCTGTTAAATACAAAAAAATCATGTTTAAAAACTGTAATAAAAACATGTATGAATTATCATATCAGAAAAGAATGATATTGCTGAAATGTATGGTAAACATTAAATTTCTTAATATCAGTTAGTAAGGTTTATATGCATTGTGTACATTGATTTAAATCGTATTCAACAAAAATATTAGGAAAATATGTAAGGGAGTGCTGTCCAACCATTTTTGAATACGTGGGTCAAAAAAAACTTTTCCTCTATCCCAAGGCCAGCAAATGATCTCTAAAGAAAGATTTTTTTTTTTTTTTTTTTATTCTTTCTAAAGAAAGATTTTTTTTTTTTTTTTTTATACTTTTTAGAAAATTATTCATGTAAATACTTCTTACCTTACACATAAAGAGTCTTATATCCAATAGCATTATCGGCTCATCAAGAATATAAATGGAGTGAATTTAAACAATTTTAGCCCTTTTTAATTATATATTTTGCTTTGCATTGTATTTGCAATTTTTCTGAATAGGTATCAAATTTATCAGTAGCAAATGCCCTTGTTAGATTTTCTAAAAATTCACCTGTCAAAACGTTACATTTTTTGGACTTTATGTTGGTCATTTCAGATGCAGGTGCTTCCAAAAACATGGTCAAAATTTTGTTACCTTTTCCTTTGTTTCCATTACAATCTCATTGTATGTAGTGAAGCAAGCATCTTCCATGGATACTTCTGTTACCTGTGGCGTGCCACAGGGCTCAGTTTTGGGACCTATTCTGTTCTCCATGTCCACTAGCCAGCTAAACAGAATTATTTAAAGTCATGGTATTTCCTGCTAATTATTGGTGGATGACACAGAGCTGTACAAGGCTTTCCGCCCTGATCCTTTGGAGTGTGCTACTGCTGTTCAGGCTGTCGAGGAATGCTGTCTTGTAGTGAAAGAATAGATGTCATCAGACTAAAATTAAATGATGATAAGCCTGAGGCAATTATTTGTGGTTTGGATGCCAATCTTCGGAAGGTTGCCATCGCATCAAATAAAGTTTGTGATTCTGAGATTCCGTTGTCCTCCACTTTCAGAGACCTTGGCTTTTATATATACAGTAAACTTAGAATGATTCCCCATATTAGTTCTGTGGTCAGGGCATGCTTCTGTCATCTGCGCGCCCTGGATCAGCTGCGTCCTCAACTCAATAAGAGAACAGCCAATGCCGTAGCAGTAACTCTAATCCAGTCAAGATTAGATTACTGTAACAGATGTTTGTGGGGTTTACCTCAGAACCAAATTCAGAGAATCCAGAAGGTACAGAATACTGCAGCACGCATTGCATCGCGGATAAAGAAATCTGACCACATCACCCCAGTTCTTAGAGATCTTCATTGGCTTCATGTAGGTGAGGGCATTGACCACAAAATTCTGTCCCTGGCGTGCAGCTGTATAGAAGGCTCTGCACCGGAATATCAAGAACTGATTTATAACATGTATCCTTAAAGAACCTGCAGTCTTCAACACAGTGCGCTCTTTTGAAGCGAGAGCGTAAAAATTATGGAACAGTTTGCCCGTATCTTTGGAGAACATTGAAAATGATAAAAAATCATTTAAGAAACATTTAAAGACTTTTTTTATTTAAATGAATTTAAGAACATCAGAGCGCTGTGAGCATGCGAAAGTAGAATGGATGCAAGCGCTATATAGATATTCAATTCAATCCTTAGTTTTGGAAATCCATCAGAAGAAACTTAAGTCATCCAGAATTTATTTTGCCACACATTCTTATGATTGTGTATCAACAAAAATAATTTCAAGAATTGTTGCTATTGTGACACACAATTGAATGGCATTAACCACAAACACAACTTGTATTCTGCTTACTACTCAATGAATCTCATATTCTGAATACCAGGTACTTGTCGCAACGATTCAGGATGGACAAACACTCGCCCATACCTGGCTAGACTTTTTAAATAATATAGTACCATAAATGGTTCACTGCCAATTGTGACACCTTTAGTACCCCAGCTCCCTTCTCAATTACTCTCACCCCAAAAACTTTCCTGGCAGTAGTTAACTTTCTATGCTCACCTATCTACTAACTTGGTCCCGTTGGTGTGGGCGTGGACATATTTACAATGATCAAATAGCTACACATCCAATTACTTTAGTTTTCCCATTCATCTTCCTCAAAGCTGTTAATAATTATACCCGACACCCCATGGCGCCTCCCCTGTAAAAGCAAAAGAAGAACGAGAAAATAGTATCCCATTTTATGTCACCCAGGCACCCTAATGGTTGTTTTACTGACGTGCTTAATATAAATTTTTGCAATGTGTCAAGCCATTTTACTCCTTGGCTTTTGGGACCTCTCCCTTTTTCTGTTACAACTTCTCCTGTGTTCTCACATGATTTCCCAACAATGTTAAAAGCAATAATAATGTTTATTTATTGCCACACTTCATAAAATCTGTGGCGATCATGTTGCGGACTGGACAGCACTGATATAAGGGATGAACTACTCACGGGCTTCCTGAATGAGAGAGCCATCTGTCTTCTCATGGCATGAAAAAAGTTGGCAGGTGTTGTGAAGTTACCAACAAACCAATTTGTTTCATGGAGCTGCTGGATCTCAAAATTGGGGCCCTCAGGCTAATGAGGTTACAAATAAATAAATAATAGACACAATCAAAATAACTTTCAATTATATATATCATTATCAACTATCGAGTAGCTAATTTGGACATGTTAAAATTGTTTGTTGGACATTTCAATAATAAATATATGTTAAAAATTAATTTGATCTGTTTAAAAAAAAAATTATTTCAAATTTTGAACAATTAATAATAGTGAAAATAAGTTTTGTTTTATGCTATCCTCATTCTCCTATAGACCTATTCAGCATCTATAAGACATGTGCCACACAGCATCTAAATAGACAATATTATCAACCACCACATGGAGGACCAGACCTTTAATAAGGTCCCCAATTCTAGAAGAATATACAGAAGTAATTGATTATATGAAAAACAACAAAGCCCGTGGAGAAGAAAGACCTCATCACAGCAGAACTTATTAAATACCTAGGCAGGGAACTACAGCCTCAGACACAAACTTATAGCTAAAATTTGACAAGAAGAGAAAATAACAACAGAATGGGAAACATCACTTATAACCCCAATACACAAGGAAGGCTCCAAACTTCAGTGCTCAAACTACAGAGGAATTTCCCTATTTAATTAAATGTTACATACAAAATACTGACAAGCCAAAAGACTACAACCCTACACTGAAGATATATAACGTGTCTACCAGTGGGGATTCAGGCAGAATAGATCAACGACTGATCAGATGACTATTAGAGAAATGTTGCGAATATAATATCCAAGTACATCAACTCTATGTGGACTATAAAATGGCCTATGACAGCATCAAAAGAATATATCTTTATGAGACTCTGCAGGAGTTTCGCTTACCCAAAAAACTGACAAGACTGATACGGTTCATGTAACATTACACAACTCAAAAAGCAAAATCAAGGTTCAAGAAGAATATTCAAGGGAATTCCAGATTAGATGAGGCCTAAGAAATGGAGACTCCTGTCTTGTCTTTTTAAACCTAAGATTAAAGAGAATTATAAGAAGCATACATATTGACACCCAAGGAACAATAAAAGGATACTTTATGAGGGAGACCCAAGACCAATGGGCACTCTCTACAATCAACCTTTCAATATCTTCCATATGCTGATGACATAGCACTGTTAGGGAAAGTAGTAAAGACACATCAAAAGACTTTTCTGAATTAGAAGAAACATCACTACAAGGAAGACTGTAAGTTAACAACCAAAAAGTAAAAACATGACACTGATAAAAGAAGAGCACACAGATGAAACCATTAAAATTAAAAACCACACTACAGAAGAGTAAAACAATTCAAATACCTAGGATCTTTATTAAATGAAAGAAACGAATTACTAACAGTGTAACAGAAATAAAAGAAAGAATATTGGTAAGAAACAGGGCATAGAAAACTATATATAAAACTGTTATCAGACCAGTTGTAACATACGCAACTGAAGCTTGGACCATAACAAAAATGGCAGAAAACCTATTGAACACATAGGAGAGAAAAGTTCTCTGGAAAATATATGGACCAACAAAGGATGAATATGGATGGACAATACGAACCAACCAGGAATTGTAAAGTCTATATCATCAGGATCCCATGCTGGGAAGGACACTTAGAAAGAATGCCACATGACAGAGGATCGAAGAGGGCACACCACCAAAACCCCAGAAGAAAACGGCTCACAGGCAGACCCAGGCTTAGATGGATGGATGATGTGGAAAAAGATCTAAATCAGCTGGAAATCCAAGCATGGAAAAGAAAATCATTTGTTAGGTCTGAGTGGAAGGAAGAAGTGAGGCAGGCCAAAGCCCTACATGGGCTGTAGCGCCACAGTGATGGATTCAGCTTCTAAAAGACCTGTGGCATACAGCACCTATAAGATCTGTGTAATACAGTATAAATCTTCACAATTGTGATGCTCTGTCTGCTGTAATATGTATGCATGGCAGTAACATAGCTGCTTGTTACCATCCATATAATATAATAACTTACTGGAAAGTAGTCCGGGTCATCATTACTCAGCTGCAAAAATCGTTCCAGTCGAGCACTGGAGTGCTCAGGTCCCTGAAAATTATAACAAAATATTTGTTTTATTTTGTATTGGTGCTGATAGTAGTCAGAATAATTGTATTCTCGACACTGGACCTAATACATACCATGCCTTCAAACCCATGAGGAAGAAGGAGAACAATGCCTGACTGTCTAACCCATTTGGCTTGCCCACTAGCAATGAACTGATCAATGATGCACTGGGCAGTGTTTGCAAAGTCACCAAACTGGGCTTCCCAAATAACCAGAGCATTAGGGTTGGTGATGGAATAACCAACTTCAAATCCTGAAAATAAATTCAAAATTTATCATGAATCTTATATTAAAATTAAGTTTCTTAAAATTAAAAAAAAAATATATTATCTAGTTAAATACCGTAACAATATATATTCTTTCGTAACTTTCATTTTCCAAGCTAAATTAGTTTCTTGTAAACTGTAGTTATAGAAAGAGAAAATTTTAGGTAATGGTAGAATTTTGAGAATTTTAATGAAATAAAAAAAAAAAGATTATTGCTTTAAAAAAAAAAAATTTAAGATTCTGATATGAATTTTCATTTTTAAATTATTTTTTTTTAATGTAAAAGTCCCCCCAAAATTTTCCCTGCACTCTTAGCTCCTGTCCACAAATAAACAAATTAACTTTTAGCTGTAAACAACACTGAAATGTACCTAGTACTCCATACTCTGAGAGAGAGCTGTTACACACTGTATATGTAGCCTGGTCAGGATAGAGATTGTTCAATGGGATTGTTGTCTTCTTGTCTATTGTTTGATGGTGGAGGACATGATGGCGGTGGCTGTGAAACAGATATCATAACACTATAAGTAAAAAGTTCTTACACCATCAACAAAGATATATATTTAAAAAATAATTTCTTCATTTGCAAATACTTCACAAAGTGCACCTTCCTTCATACATCGAGATACCAAATGTGTATCTCGTGGGGGCTAACACAAATGCTTGAAAATTGTTCCAATTGTAATTACCTAAACGTGCCCCTCTCAACATCCTGTCCACTCAGTCTCACATGAATTCCTTCTTTTAATAAGGAACCAAAGGCAAGAGCCTCACCCAAGGCCCAGTCAGCCTGTCGAGCTTCTACCATTTCAGCACGGGCTTTGAGAACTCTTTTCAGGCCTTTTCAGTACATGAAATGAAATAATAGAATATCTAGAATTAAAGAGGTTATTTGAAGAAACAGAATAAATATGCATGTTCTAATAAACCAAATTTAGATGAGATGCTGTGTACTACAGCCATGACTTTTTAAATATTTGGATAAACTGAAAAACATAATAATGTGAATCTCACACTTTTACTCTAGTACTAATAAGAAAGATGTTATTAAACATCTCAAAACTTTGTCAAATTTTTACTCTTACTAATAAGAGATTTTATCAACAACCTCAAAACTTTGTCAAATTTTTCAGTAAAATGCAGAGAAAAAGTGTTCCCACTCACAATTTTGAAAACATCGTGATATATTTATTATCCACCTTCAAAATTAAAAGGTATTGTTTTTCTATTAAAAAGCCTGCTTTAGTTAAGAAAGTGGAGAGCTGCTGGTAAAATAGAACCCAGGTAAACTTAGCTGGTCCTAGGAAGAGTAACTTCTTCTAAGTGACTTTATTCATTCTTTACCATCTCATTTGGAATTTTTTAAATTCCAAACTTGCATCATTTTCAAAGTGATTTTATACCTCCGTGGATAACAAAGTCCTCTGGTGGAGTGCTGAACACATTGCCAATGTGTTTCAATGTTTCCTCTGCAACCCCAGTCGTTGGAAGCACCATAGGATCGCGTCCTTCAAAAAATCCACTCCAGGGAGAATCCAACCAATCAATATTGCTTACAGCTGTTTCTTTCTTAGCAAGAGAGTAAGCCTCTTCACAGATCTTATCATACTTTGAAATCTCTTCCTGAAATGTTCATGCATTATAACAATTATTAGCTAGAGTTTAAAGAAACAGATTTCTACTTTCAGTCATTGGCATAAGAAAAATTAGGTTAGGCTGTATTACTCATTTTAAAAAACTGAACACCTAATTCTTTCCCAACTTACTTCATACTCTTGCTGGGTTACCACTCCACTGTTGATAAGGTTTTCTGCATATTTGGCAAGTACTGTGGGCTGTTTAGCAATTTTCTTGTACATGAGAGGCTGAGTGAACATTGGTTCATCAATCTCATTGTGACCAAACCTGCGGTAGCATACCTGTTACCAGAACAAAGGAAAAATGTTATTATTTGTTATATGATATATATAACAACCTTATGTTACATAGATGAACATTGGTAAATTTTTACAATATTACTGCCAACAAATTGCCTGCCATTAGGATGAACAGATCAAATACTTGAATTTTTTAAAAGTCTGATTCAGAGTCATCTTCAACCATAAGAACATCAATTTCACATTTCCTTCTTGCAGCATTTATTGAAATAAATTCTACATTCTGTTCCATAGTTCCATCATTCAACCTTGCTAATAAATTCACCAGAAAACTTTGCAAGGGCTTGGAAAGAAAAGCTAAAACTCTCATAGTATAATGATGTTTTTTTAAAAAGAACAACAACATTCATGTAAGAACAGCTTTGAATTGAACTTTAAATCAGTTTTTTTTTTGTATGGGAGTAAGGTAGTGAGGCCTCTTTAACAACTATTATATAATACAGCAAAGACTGAAGCAGTGTGTTGGGCAGGTATGTGAAGGGAATAGGGAAGGGAATAATGATGTTTAAGGCAGGAGTGAGTTTATAAGAGAAAATAATGAACAATTGTGCAAACCTCTCTCAATATTAAATTAAATTTTACAAATCTGTTAAAAAAACTTACATAAAGTACATACTGGTATATAAATCAGATATTTATCAAAATAATTACTTAAAAAGGTAGATTGTTTGTCTCTCTAACAGGAGTGAGATATACATTTTTTAAAGACTTTGGCTCTGACTTTTTTATTTACATGTTAATGGTGACCTCAGGTTGAGCCTGTTAGACTTATAAACATGAGAAGAGGGGAAACGCCTTGTTTTAATTTTTTTTAATGTTCTAGTTCTAAAATTAAGTATTTTTTAAAGTATCAGTAAATAAAGTATAAAATATAAAAATCATTCTCATTCTATTTTCTTCCTTGTAATTAGTTCTATCTTATCTTAGGTTAATGAGACAAAGTGAAAAGATATCAAATAGCTTCAGTTTTTTTTTACATTTCCATCCAAGTTAATGATTACCTCTGTAATAAATGGACTTACCAAATCAATAACAACATCCTTGCCAAATGTAGCCCTCCAGTCAGCAGCAACTTTGCATACATAAATCACAGCTTCAGGATCATCAGAATTTACATGAAAGATGGGTGCATTCACTACACGAGCAACATCTGTGCAGTAAGGAGAAGATCTGGAGGATCGAGGGTCAGTGGTGAAGCCAATCTGAAACAGATGAACATTTTTTTTGAACAGTTCGTTCCTAGTTTTTGGGATCCAATAATGAATAATAAATGTATTGTCTAACTAGGAAATAACTTTTCAAACTAATGATATACAATGAATTCAAGTTCTTAACGCACAATTTTTAATGAAGACATATTTATTTGTCTGGTTCAATTGAATCAGCATAAAATTTATTTTTATCGTATTCTTATGACTTCTGTACAATGTCTTAGTATATAAAAACACAAAAACTTGCACATTTTTTTAATTATAAGTCCTCATTATGCATTTGCTAGGACCATTCATGTATTTTTGGTGAATGGTATGTTTTAAAAATGCAAAAAAGGTGAATGTTTTGAATTTATAATATATAAATATACAAATATACTGACAAAGAAAAGGGGTCAAACAAAGTATGGGAAAACCTGAAAAAGGAAGGCAACAAAATAACGAACAGGAAGCCTTCCTCATCAAACAAACAACAGAAAAAAAACAGAATTAAATTTAAAAATAGCATTTAGCTGAAAAGTAGTATTCGAGAGGGCAGCACAAGAATTGTGACAAACAGTTCTAAATAGCCTTAAAATATAAGCAAATCTGTACCTGGTTATTAACAACAACATGAATGGTGCCCTGGGTGGTGAAGGCGGGCAGATCTGATAGGTGAAGACATTCATAGACAATCCCCTGGCCGGCAAAGGCAGCGTCACCATGAAGTAACATTGGCATCACCTAACAGGTTCATCAACAAGAAGATAAAAATTATAAAGTATTTGGTGACTTGTTAATGAGAAACATTAGATGAAAGAGACTTAATTTTATAGCTTCTTAGATGTTTAGTTTTCAATAGGACATGTACATAGGAAAGTTCCTGAAATTAGGGGATAATTAATGTTATTCAATATTAGAAGTCTTATACAAGTTCTTATAAATATTGTAAAACTATTCTTTATTCAACATTTTTAATTTCAACGTCAATTATGGGAAGAAAATAAATAAATATTGCTTTTCAGAAACTACTTCTTAGAACAATCGTCTAAAAATTTGGAAAATAACAATGAGACTAAAGTCAAATATAATTTGATAATCTTTTGTTGAAATATTAATAAGATCACCTTTTTCCCATCTGTATCTCCTCTGTAAAACATTTCAGCTCTAGCTTTGCCTTGAACCACTGAGTTAACAGCCTCCAAATGGGAAGGGTTGGCCACAACTGCAATTTTGATGTTCTTGTTGGTGACTCTGTTCATTCGTTCATGTGACATGCCTAAATGATATTTGACATCACCTGATCCTTCATCAGCAGCCTCCAACTTAGAGTCAAATTGACAGATGATTTTCTCCAGAGGTTTGCGACAAACATTCGCAAGAACATTTAAACGGCCTCTGTGTGGCATTCCAATAATGAAGCTATCTACACCAAGAGCGCTGGACGAGTCAATGATGGACTTCATAGCAGGAATAAGCACCTCACAACCTTCAAGGCCAAATCTCTTTTCAGAAGACCACTTTCTGGCCAAAAACTCCTCAAATCTTATTGGGGGGGGGGAGAGATTAGAGAAATAGTGTGTTATTAATATATTTATGAAACAGCTGAGTGATATTTAACACTTTTAAAACCTAAATTCTCACAAAAATTTGTTCTTTGGCTTTTAACTCTTGAAAAAATTAAATATACTCACGAGAGGTCTTAAAGTCCTAATTTCAACAGGTAAAATATTCAGCAGTTAAAGTTAAATTCCTGTTCTAAACTAATGAAATTATTTTTTAGCTGCCACATAAAAAAAAAATCATGAAATCAAGGTGATGATATTTTTTCTCCCAACATCAGCAAGGTCACAGAGAGAGCTTAAAAATGACTCCAGTCATACTTCAGGCATACTTTATTTTTTTCTTTATCAAACCTGTAAGGAAATACCAGTACCTTAATGTGCAATAACTCAAGTTGATATTAGTCACACTGAAATGTTAAAGAACATAAAGTTTTATGTAATACTCGGCAAATGTTATAACTCAATTTGAAAGATTCTTAACTATACCTGGTAGATCTGATCAGCCTAGCCAGAATCAGCCTCTTTTCCTCTATACTGAATTGCATGATTCCAGGTTTCTCAAACCTCTGCCTGATCCAGTCTGTCTGGTGTAGATTGTTGATAAACATAAACTCGACACCAATGGAACGACAGTAGACATTCTAGAGCAGAGAATACAACATATACGACATAAAATACCTCCTGGTCTTGCTTAAATATTAATTATATTTCTTTTTCAGTAAAAACATCAGTACGAATATGTAGAATTTTATAATATAAAGCTTTGACGGAGTTTAATTATTAATTATCAAAGCAGTTACACTTTAGTTTGTGTTGTTTTATGCCCTTAAGTACATAAAACAACACAAGAATCTATTTGCTCATTATGAGCTGTCTTTTGATGTCTTAATAAATGTGAGCAGATTCCAAAATCACTAAAAAAAATTAATGGATTTAGTTAATGATTTTAACAGAGATCAAGAAACTAACTAAATCTGCATTCAAAAGCAAATATTTATTATTTCAGGCAAGTAATGGATCTAACATCCACATTCATGGTTAGTGAATGTTTATTAACCTTTACATGACTCATCTTAACTTCCCTATAAACTATTTCATTTGATCCATCAAGGTCAACAAATGACTGTACTGTTGCCAGTTTACTTTGAGAGGAATGAAATCCATTTTGATGGGGGATATGAACAGGTCCACTGTATTACCAAGGAGATATTAATTGCATATAGTTATTGACCTACCTGGTAGTCACATCATAGTTATCTGGGTTAAACGCTAATTTTAGTTGTGTTTTTTACCCCGTTGGAAGGAAGTTTTTTAAAAACTTTTTTTAAAAACCTTTGTAGGGTACCGGTATGCTTTTACAAACAGCTGTTGATTCTATTGTACAAGTAGCTTAACCTTCAAACAAAGATTACTGGAAAGAGCTCAAAGTGATTTTTATTGTAGCATTAACATTTTTTTCCGCAATATTTCAAAATTTCGCAGGATAATTTGGAAGCTTCTTTCTGGTGCTAGTTTTTTTTTACTTTCCAGTAATGATAAATATTTACCAAATTTTTGTAACACTTCAATAGAAATTATTACAAGACAATTATATAAGATACATTTTACCGTTGAAATTGAAAACCTCTATATCACCTTGTAAAATAGTAGACATTGTTTGCTGGCTTTGGAATGGTTTCAACAAAATATAGAAATTGAGCAAAGCTAAAGGGAGATCTCTAAAATTGAAATTCTTATCTTCTCTAAGTTGTCACCAACAGTTACTGCCCTAGTGTAATTAATTTGTTGATCCCAAAATGCATTGCCAAGTCAGAGAACATTCTTGTTAGTCAGATGGTCAATAGATATTTACACTATAATTAAAATAGGCCTTAATTAAAGCCCGAAGGGCTGTATGAGAATACTGCAATGGCACATGTGCTGCAATACACCTAGGGTATTACCAGCATTATAAAGTGCCATTTAACATTTAATATCTGATAATATACATCATTACCAAGTGGGAGTATCAATATGGCCATAATTCGTATTACAATACAACATCACAGAGTTGAGAAGTGTTCACATTTATGGTAATGGCCAACAAGAGAACTTGATGTTTGCCAGTAATTGGGATGTTAGCCATATCAAAGAATTTTTTAAAATCATTGTAAGGGGAGAGCAGTGTGTGTGGTAGAGGGGACAAGAATAGTAGAGGAAGGAAGGGTAGAGGAGACAAGATGGGTAGAGTAGGCTATAGAGGACAAGAATAGTAGAGGAAGGGTAGGTGGAGACAGTAAAAGTAGAGGGACAGGAAGGGTAGAATACACAAGTAAGGTAGAGGAAGGAAGTGGAAGTGTGGAGGGGACATGAAGGATAGAGAAGACAAGAGGGGACAGGAAGGATAGAGGGGACTGTGAAGGATAGAGGGGACGGAAAGAGGGGACAGGAAGGATAGAGGGGTCTGTGAAGGATAGAGGGGACAGGAAGGATACAGAGGGCTGTGAAGGATAGAGGGGACAGGAAGGATAAAGGGGACTGTGAAGGGTAGAGGGGACAGGAATGGTAGAGGGGACAGGAATGGTAGAGAGGACAGGAAGGGTAGAGGGGACAGGAAGGGTAGAGGGGGCAGGAAAGGTAGAGGGGACAGGAAGGATAGAGGGGACTGTGAAGGGTAGAGGGGGACAGGAAGGATAGAGGGGACTGTAAAGGGTACAGGGGACAGGAAGGATAGAGGGGACTGTGAAGGATAGAGGGGACAGGAATGGTAGAGGGAACAGGAAGGGTAGAGGGAACAGGAAGGGTAGAGGGAACAGGAAGGGTAGAGGGGACAGGAAGGGTAGAGGGACAGGAAGGGGAGAGGGAACAGGAAGGAGAGAGGGGGCAGGAATGGGAGAGTGGACAGGAAGGGGAGAGGATAGAGGGAACAGGAAGGGTAGAGGGAACAGGAATGGTAGAGGGGACAGGAAGGGTAGAGGGACAGGAAGGGTAGAGGGAACAGGAAGGATAGAGGGGACAGGAATGGTAGAGTGGACAGGAAGGGTAGAGGGACAGGAAGGGTAGAGGGAACTGTGAAGGGTACATTGGACAGGAAGGGTAGAGGGGACTGTGAAGGGTAGAGGGAACAGGAATGGTAGAGGGGGCAGGAATGGTAGAAGGGACAGGAATGGTAGAGTGGACAGGAAGGGTAGAGGGGACAGGAAGGGTAGAGGGGGCAGGAAGGGTAAAGGGGACAGGAAGGGTAGAGGGGACTGTGAAGGGTAGAGGGAACAGGAATGGTAGAGGGGACCCGATTGGTAGAGTGGACAGGAGGAGTAGAGGAGACTGTGAAGGGTAGAGGGGACTGTGATGGGTAGAAGGGACAGGAAGGATAGAGGGAACTGTGAAGGGTAGAGGGGACAGGAAGGGTAGAGGGGACTGTGAAGGGTACAGGGGACAGGAATGGTAGAGGGGACTGTGAAGGGTAGAGGGGACTGTGAAGGGTAGATGGACAGGAAGGGTAGAGGGGACAGGAAGGGTAGAGGGGACAGGAAGGGTAGAGGGGACTGTGAAGGGTAGAGGGCACAGGAATGGTAGAGATGTCTGTGCAAGAAACTGCTTGTGACAGATCGAGGAATGCTAATACAGAAATGTCAATAATGCACACATTTGTGTGCCTTTATCTCACACATTCGTTTCGAACCTTGGAAACGTTTGGCTAACATGAAAACGTAGCACGGTATCCCGTTTCTGGTTCAGTTTTCAGCTTCTCTAGAACCTAATTAACACCGGAGCCTGATCCCGGATTTAAGTGTATACCTTTCTACAACAAGTTATAAATAACTCAACGAAATAAACTGATTAATTTTAGTTTCATTTAAGTTTTTACATTTACTATTTTTGTGCCTTCGCCTCTCCCGTCCATTTTTTCCAAAAACAACTTTCCATTTATTTGTATTGGAAAAAAAAAAATCCTATTGATCTCTACAATACTGTAACGTATGCGCAGTTGAAAATGTGCCGTTATGAAGTGACTGAGACAAAACTTAACTTACAAGATCACCAACTTCCCCACAACTCACAAGATTACCAAGTCTGCAATCATGAGGAATTGCATGAGCAAAGAAGAGGGCGATAATATACAACTAAAAATGATCACAAAGATGTTTATTGTAGCTTTTACCAAACGCTGGTCGCGACCCGGGCCAAGATAGCGAAACGACTTGGTTGCGAAAACAACTCTCGTAAACCTAGCTAGGTGTTTGTTCTTGGCTTTTCTTTTTTTCCCCCTGCACACCCTAAAATTACAGGAACAATAGGGTCTAGTGCGACAGTAACATTCAATAGGGACTAGTGAGACAGTAACATTAACTAGGGACTAGTGAGACAGTAACATTCAATAGGGACTAGTGAGACAGTAGCATTCAATAGGGACTAGTGAGACAGTAGCATTAACTAGGGACTAGTGAGACAGTAGCATTAACTAGGGACTAGTGAGACAGTAGCATTAACTAGGGACTAGTGAGACAGTAACATTAACTAGGAACTAGTGAGACAGTAACATTAACTAGGGACTAGCGAGACAGTAACATTAACTAGGGACTAGTGAGACAGTAACATTAACTAGGGACTAGTGAGACAGTAACATTAACTAGGGACTAGTGAGACAGTAACATTAACTAGGGAAAGGCGAGACAATAAATTATATGCCAGGTTTCAGTTCGATATTACTTTTTAAAAACATGTTTGTAAGCGTATATGTACGGCCATTCCAATCTGTTACCTAGTAGCAAGAATGAGCGATACAAATGTTAGTGGGTCGCCAAGGAAAAGTATACAAAATAACTGGGCTCAAGCGCAAACGTTTGAGAAACGCTGATTCGTGTATGGCAGACGATCGGCTGCCACAAATACACTTGGCTATGTGGTCAAGAACGTCTTGGACGTGAGGAGGGAAGAGGAATGTGTGTTTAAAAGAAAAAGAAAGTGTGTGTGTGGGGGGGGGGGTTACAGTGGCAGACCCCTCAATGGTAAATCAATGCCTCGATGGCTGGTAAGATCCTGATGTCTTAGGGGATAAATAGCAGCACTTCTCCTCCTTGAACATTTGGACAACTGACCGCACAAGTTATTCCACGGTACGTTAGTGCATAGCTCCGCAACCGGTGTGCCGCAGCCCAAATGGTGTGCCGAGAGATGATGCCAGGTTTGCCGCGCAAAGTGCCTCCAAGAGGAGGAAATGCTCAAGTATATGTAGGTACATACAAAAAGAACCTCTTGCAACAAAGGGGACCTTGTTGACAAGCTGTCCAACTCCGCGAGCAATGCATGCACTGTAACATCTTAACTTTCAGAACGACATGCCACAATGCACGTTAACTACGTTATGTTATTTAGAATATTTGTTGCATGTTGCTACTTGTGGCGTGCCACAGAAGTCTCGGAAAAGCCTTAGTTGTGCCGCGAGTGAACAAAAATTGCTGAGCCCTGCGTTAGTGTCACACAGAACACATGAGTGATTGAACAATCTGACCATAGTGTGGCTGACCACGCAAGTGACTATGTCATTCTAGTATTGACCTCCCTTGTAGTTTCACGGTAAAAACATTCCTATTTAACACACCCCATGTTTAGTCCATAGCCAGTGTGTATTTCGGCCCATACCCATTGTTTGCTTCGGCCCATAGCCATTGTGTAGTTTAGCCCATAGCCATTGTGTACTTCAGCCCATAGGTATTGTGTACTTCAGTCCATAGGCATTGTGTACTTCGACTTCGGCCCATAGCCATTGTGTACTTCAGTCCACAACCATAATATCACCTCAGCCCATAGACATGTCATTTCAGGACACGGCCATTATCTTACTTCAACCCGTAGCCATAATATCAAGTTAACAATTACCGTTGTGCCACTGTCACTATGTTACACTACTAAAATAGAACAGCCTTGATTACAATAAGTTGGCGTCCTAAAACCTACTAGTTCAGGTTGCTACAAGGATCATCATTCATTACAAACAACTTGAAATTCCAGCTGTCTTACGTCTCCCTGTTTGTATAGCAGGCAATACTTCCAAATATAGATCAGAGTTTAGTTTATCCCTTACATCGGCATGTTGCTAACAAACCTCCCATGACAGATGCAGGAGTTAAGTAACTACACAGTTTTATATCGCGGCTGTTGACTTGGGTTTGGTTTCAATTTTCAAAAAACTCAGAGATAGAATTCAACCCTGAATTTTGAATGTATATTTGAAGTGACTTCACCCTCATCCAACTATTTTACTACTCAGTTATTCCAGTGACAGAATTCAAATTGAATCTATGTCGACAGTTAATCATCTGTAAGTGTGTGTTGCCATGTCTTACAACAATACCTTTACACTAAAGTCAACTAAGTTGCATGCATTAAATGACTTCTAGAGACAAGTGACGTCACATGCCGCTTTAAACAGGGCACAAATCAATGGGTTGAACTAGGTCGACCGTAGCATGCCGCCTTAACCCAACTCTTTGGGTCTATCGGCTTCTGGGGCCATCTATTGAATCTTACGTCAAGAAAAATAGATATAATATAAACGCTCCACTGTCATAATAGAAAGTATTGGTGTACAGCTCCGTAGAATGTACATCAATCGATCTCTTCACACAATGAAGTTGTGTAATGGTGTTCACATCCCATTTGTACTGGTATCATTTAGCTTGGGGAGATCTCAAAGACAGCATGTGCTGTCAAATACATAGACACACATTTGTTATTTATGGCCTGGTGGTGTTCGCAGAGCTTGAGTCAGTTGAAAGTCAGCCTCCCCTTGAGATTTGACCGTAGACGGTAAACAAATCGTTTCCACGGGTTCAAGTAAATCTATATTATTAGGGATGTGCACTTCTTAGTTGATCCAAAGACTTCGATAACCAGTCCAGCTGAAGTTGTTAAACATGACGTTGACATGTTGATCCAGAAAGGCAGTCATCTATGCTAAGTGGCATTACAATAATTTGGTTGGGTATGAGAAATGTGCATGACTACTGAGTGACTTTAGCACATGTGCTTTTAGATGATTGTAACTATACTACTAAAGTACTACTTGAGTACTTGTTCAACAAATCTTTCGGCATGGCACATCTTTAACGGCATGGCATCCATTAAAGAACATTTAATAATTCAAGCGACTAACACAGTGATTCTCAACCTTCCTAATGCCGCGACCCCTTATTAAAACTCCTCATGTTGTGGTGACCCCCACCATAAAATTATTTTCGTTGATACTTCATAAATATGTGTTTTCCGATGGTCTTAGGCGACCCCATGTAAGGGTCGTTCGACCCCCAAAGGGGGCTCGACCAACAGGTTGAGAACCGCTGGTCTAACGGGTCCAGTCCTACGACCTTAACCTTTTTAAAGGATTTACCCAGATCACCAAGTAATCTATGAAGGTCTACCTAAATAAAGCCTTAAGATATATATCAGTTATTATTAGATTCCCTAGAAGTTCACACTTACACTTTGAGCCTTGGGGGAGCTAAAGGGGGTGTGTATTGTTGATGTTTTTACTAGCTTCCAATGAAATGCAGATATTCACAAAGGCTATACTATACCAATGAATAATTTGTTTGTAACTGTTAGATAATATTTCAAGAAGTAAATACACTTACAATTGTCTCATAAAAGTAGCCAGGCCACTTTAAGACCCTACATTGAATTAGGCCCAAATTAAAAGGCTCCATGAATCTAAGGGGACTTGGTGTTATATGTTAAAGGATTCATTTCTTGCCCAACCCCCACCTTTTTGTTTGAACAAGCGCCCACTATGACCTTACATTGTCAATTGGGCCTTCCTTCTTTGGGTCTACATTTATGAACTATTGAGGATACTTGGGATACTCTTTGACTGCTCAGTGTTCAACCAACTTGTGACAGACCAAAAGTGATATGAACACAGCTAGTGACTAACACTTGCTATGATCACAGCTGGTGAAAAACCAACCATTCTACAAACAGGGCTAGTGACAGACCAACAGTGTTTTGAACACGGCTAGTGACAGACCGAGCCTACTATGAACACAGCTAGTGGCAGACCAACTGTGCTATGAACACGGGTAGTGACAGACCAACTGTGCTATGAGCACAGCTTGTGACACACCCCACTTACCTGTAATCGCCTGATGATTTCCCTGAGGGGCAGGACTGTATCATTGCCTCCAATGTATGTCGTATTTGGCAGTCGGAAAACACGGTCAAGGTCAGCCTCTCCTGATATGTGGAACATAGTGAAGACGTTATTTGCGATTTTAGTGTAGGGGTGTCAAGAAAGGACTCCCTAGTTAACATCAAAGACTTAATATTCTATTTATTATGTGTGCTTTTGTTTTGTTTTTTTGTGTGGCACTTATAAATATAATATTGACATAATTTAGGGGCAAAATGTAGCAGGTCGAATGCATGTCAACACAATAATTAACATACTATAGAAACCAAGTAAAAATAAGACCAAATATTTTTTTAATAGGAAAAACAGATTGGGCATGTTGGACGGTGCATTAAACAGAGTTGGCATGTTGGACGGTGCATTAAACAGAGTTGGCATGTTGGACGGTGCATTAAACAGATTGGGCATGTTGGACGGTGCATTAAACAGAGTTGGCATGTTGGACGGTGCATTAAAAAGATAAGCTAACCTAAACTAGAGAACTTAAGCTTTTCATTACGTTGGTTATTTAGTGTGTTAGCTTGCAATGGGTTAGTTTAATCGTGCGTCGAGTTATATCAATTGCACACAAAATTGTGTAGCCCTTGAAATAGGAGAGAAGTAAATATTACTTAATTGAAACTAATGGCTTAAGTACACGGGCGCATTTGATATCAGAACGTATTTGGAGACAGTGTGAAGTCTGAGACAGTGTGACGTCTGAGACAGTGTGAAATCTGAGACAGTGTGAAGTCTGAGACAGTGTGAAGTCTGAGACATTGTGAATTCTGAGACAGTGTGAAGTCTGATATAACTGTTAACATTTTTTTTTTCAAAACAGAATCGCGCCACTGAATGTGTTGGGCGTGTATCGGTGTATGTGTGAGAAAGTGAAGGGGGCCAGCGGTGGGGGAATGATGGGGAAACAAGGTCAAAGTACGTGTCTGCTGGTTATAGTATCGATCTCATAACCTCGTACATAAGGCGAATGCCAGCTCACTTACAACGGCTGCCTCCTCTTGTATCCACTAAAAAAACCATTTTAATCTGGGGACCACCCCACTCACCCACCCCCACGCCAAAAAAAAAACAACAAAAAAAACAACAGAACAAACTCGGACGATTATCAAAACATGTAGTTAAACAGAAATAATGGAAATGTAAGAACTATATAGTTATCACCCACCGGTAGGATGAGGAGAGTTATGAAACACTTTAAGGAATTTCTTTATAGGAACCCTGTTTCAAAGCATCTGGAGGAAAAGGGGTCTGGGGAACCGTTGACCTGCTTTTTAAGCCGATGCGGAACCCCACGTTTTGGCACGTCATCCCCTTCTCATTAGCCCAGTGTCTTCTTTTCCTGTCCCACCTGATGCTTGAAAAAAAAAATGTAAGTTGCTGTGGTCCACCAAAACCAGCAAGGTCACAGCACCTTCGCAAGAGTTCACCTTGCTGGAGAAACAGCGCCTACTGTTAAATGCCAAGCTCTGAACTTCATGCCAAGTTGTATTTTTAACCTCGGCGTCAGAGCGTGCACTTACTGGGAGCACTACGGTACCCCACCCCACCCCCAAACAGCCATTTAAAACCTATAACCAGGTGACTGATTTTGTTGCTTTGATTGAATCTAAGGCAGACGTGTGAATGGTAACACGAGCTGACTGACAACAAAGATGTTAAGTAACTGTTGAACTCGTTAACGGATTGCCCAATTACTTTCTAAGGTTACCTCCCTATCCATCTTAAAATGTAGTTAATAAAAATTCGAAACTATATACTCTCGCTAATGTATACTGTGCATTAGTATAACGAATCACTTTCTATGATCGTTAACGTACAGTCGTATCAGTATAACTAGACTATTATACCGAATTACTACATACGGTCTTTAATGTACATTGTGCGTAAGAATAACTAGTATAAATCATCTTCTTAGTTGTTCAGATATACAAAAACATAAAGTTTGAATAATGCACCCGTGATGTCAATGAAATGTATGCTATAATGCACCCGTGATGTCAATGAAATGTTTGCTAAAATGCACCCGTGATGTCAATGAAATGTTTGCTATAATGCACCCGTGATGTCAATGAAATGTATGTTATATCTTCGAAGTTTGAAATTTGTTTTTGGATAGAGACCAGATGTATGCAACGCCGACGTTATTTGTAAATGACATATAATCATCCAAATCCATGATTCTGTGCGCACCAATGTCACTAACGCTACCAGGCGGTGCTGAGTTTGCTGATCAAAATTCCAGATTCGAAGCTGTGCTAAATGAGATTCTTTAAACAAATTCCGCAAGTGCGTTTAGTGCCTAAGATGTTCTTTTGTTTGACGGAAACAAAACAGTCTCCATGGAGATATGCTGACATAAATAGGCCATAGACGGGAACAAAACAGTCTCCATGGAGATATGCTGACATAAATAGGCCATAGACGGAAACAAAACAGTCTCCATGGAGATATGCTGACATAAATAGGCCATAGACGGGAACAAAACAGTCTCCATGGAGATATGCTGACATAAATAGGCCATAGACGGAAACAAAACAGTCTCCATTGAAATATGCTGACATAAATAGGCCATAGACGGGAACAAAACAGTCTCCATGGAGATATGCTGACATAAATAGGCCATAGACGGAAACAAAACAGTCTCCATGGAGATATGCTGACATAAATAGGCCATAGACGGGAACAAAACAGTCTCCATGGAGATATGCTGACATAAATAGGCCATAGACGGAAACAAAACAGTCTCCATGGAGATATGCTGACATAAATAGGCCATAGACGGAAACAAAACAGTCTCCATGGAGATACGCTGACATAAATATGCCATAGACGGAAACAAAACAGTCTCCATGGAGATATGCTGACATAAATATGCCATAGACGGAAACAAAACAGTCTCCATGGAGATATGCTGACATAAATAGGCCATAGACGGAAACAGTCTCCATTGAAATATGCTGACATAAATATGCCATAGAGTTGTTTTAAGAGGGGGGGGGGGCGAGGGGAGACATTTGAATATTAATTATACAGTTCAAGGGCGTGAAAAAAGTGTGAGGTTGCAAACTTTGGGGGACCGGGGCGGGGGGCAATTAACTGGAATTTTTAAGAAGTGCTTTACTTGAGTGCATGTTTTGTCAAGTAACTTTATTAGATGGTTAGATGGGAAGTTAAAGCATTGTAGCCGCCATCGTTTGGCTGGCTTTATAAAGAAAGTGGCCTCAGATTGGGGAGATAAATACCGTAATTACATTGTAGCCAGCGTATTTAGTGAGTGGTCAACAATATGAGCAGCAGCAGCAGTAGTAGTATCAATAGTAGTAGCAGTATTAGTAGTAGCTACCTCAAAGTGTTGACGAAAGGTGGTGTTAGTTGAGCATCGTATTTTTAAACACATCGGCTTTACTTGTAAGTAAGGAGCAGGCTAAACACATATGTAACACTACTACGCCTACCCTTAACAACACGAACATGCTTCTATCATAAGTCATTCACTAAGGTTAGTGGGTTAGATAGCGTAGCACTAGTGTAGGAGGGTGCCTCAGTTCCCTATATGCCTACACCTATCTGTACCGGTACTACTAAATTTAACATTAAACACCCGGCCCACATAACACACTCAAGTAACATACTAAAATTTAAAAAAAACTATGTCCCTCAGCCAATGTCATACTATTTTCATGGTCCACAGCACTGTTTCCCCACAGACAAGTGATACTTTTTCACGGTCAGTCAAGACCACTATTTCCCCCAGACAGCATTTGATACTATTACCATCAGATAACACAAGGTCTTGTTATCATATAAACATTGTCGTATGTACACGATTAAAAAAACAACCTAACATACTACCGAGACTATCACATTATCACAGGGACTATCACATTATCACAGGGACTATCACATTATCACGCAGTTCGTGGTATTCCCGGTAAAGTACATTTGTTTTCACTATGGAACTTCCAGCTGTCACCACGGCGTAGTATCATCCAACATAAAGTTATGCATTGCCAATTGTTGCAAATTATCTCTTTTTTTTTTTAAACCAGGATCAGTCAATACAAGTTGCTTAGGGTCAAATAGTAGTTTTAAAAAAAACAACAGTTTTACGCTTGGAACCCACGCATGGATTTACGAGTTAAAAACTAAAACATAAAATATTGAAAAATTAAAAACATAAAAAAAATTAAAATCTCAAGATACAACAGCCCTTGGTATTGGTCATATGGTCAAACACCAAAATAAAACTTCAGCCATTTGGAAACACAGTGTTGTCCCACTCTAAAACATCCCTATAGCTGGTAGATTTCTAATACTGTTGAGATAACAGCGTGAAAGCAAATAACTGGTAAATAATAAACTATACGTCTTTTTTTTCAGCAGCATCTTCTACATCTATGTCAATGTTATCTTAACTGTGCAGCTAACTCCAGTCAACTGCCATTCGCCATTGTATAGATCAGGGCAGGGCTGCATGGCACCCGCCAGCACCCATTTTGTGGCCCGCGAGGTATCGAAAAACTCGTTATTCTTATTATTTTCTGAATAACTTTCCCCCTGACCTATTTTCTTTTGGCCCGCACACGTTTTTCATAATGCATTACGGCCCGCCTTACATTTTGATGTGTGCAGGCCTGGTATAGATCATTGGATCTCAGAAAAAAATAGATGGATGAGATTTAATTAATTCTTTGTTCATCTTACGTCAAACTAACCAAAGTCCGTTGATCTTCCATGAAACTAACTGAAGTCTGTTAATCTTATATCAAACTAACTATTAGACTGTTCATCTTACATCAAAATAATTATTCGGTTTATCTTTTATCAAACTTTATTCGGTTCATCTTAAATCAAACTAGCTAAAGTCTGTTCATCTTATATCAAACTAATTATTCGGTTTATCTTTTATCAAACTTTATTCGGTTCATCTTATATCAAACTAACTAAAGTTTGTTCATCTTATATCACACTAACTAAAGTCAGCCCATCTTGTATCAAACTCACTCCTTTTCACTTGGAAGGACACAGGAAAGGGCAAGGAAATTATTGAAGAAAATCAAAATAATAAGTACTTAAATTCGTTGATTAGCAGGGAAGAAAAATGTGTTAAATGCATCATTTATTATGTGTGCACGGTCAGATGTAAAGGTTATTTACATGATAATAAGTGGGTATATTTTATGATGTTAATATGTGGGCATACACAATGACATGTACATAATGTTAACTAAAAGTATAACACACCGAGGCCCATATTTGCCACACATTATAAAACTGATTTCATGTCAAAATTGGCTGGTCACACAGTAGCACAAATGTCATTTAAAATATAAAAGGATCCCATTGGTTCGTTGTATAAACATTTTAAAAACTAAGCAGCAGGTCATGACGCAAAAGCAAGGGATCAAACAATGAAATAACGAATACAGCCGCAGATCCAGGCAAACTGATAAAGGAGGCATACAAATAAAGAGACAAGAGTGCAATAGTAAATAATAATGTGTCTGATTTATAAATATATATATTTCTGTGGAACACCCCCAACCACTTTTGCACCTAAATCTACCAAAACACGTGTGTACATTTGACAGGATGGTGTGTATGAACAGAAACACGTGTATACATTTGACAGGATGTTGTGTATGAACAGAAACACGTGTATACATTTGACAGGATGCTGTGTATGAACAGAAACACGTGTATACATTTGACAGGATGCTGCGTATGAACAGAAACACGTGTATACATTTGAAAGAATGTTGTGTATGAACAGAAACACGTGTATACATTTGACAGGATGTTGTGTGTGAACAGAAACACGTGTATACATTTGACAGGATGCTGTGTATGAACAGAAACACATTCAATTAATATCTGAAAGGACAAATGAGCTTCTTTATTGACACAGACAGGGGGTGGCTGTGGCCAAACAGCAAACCTCAACGAAAACAAACAAGGAACGTGCACGTGGCTATGGCGTAGGGCCAAAGGGAAGGAACTGTCGTGGCGGTGTGTACAAACAATAAGATGCCTGAGGTAGTACTCCACTGAAACATCACTGTATATAAGGGGGCCGGGGGGTGGCGGCATGCACTTACCCAAGTTGTAATACTGAACTTGAAGCTCCTTCTCTTCGTTGTGCACCTCAAGTCCGATAGGGTCTAATTGTGCCATGCGGTGTCCTCGGATCTGGTCACCACGTAATCAACGGGGCAAAGACAGAGAGGGAGAGAGAAGAAGAGAGAAAAAAAATAGCACGCAGGCATTACCTGCGATTAGAGGCCGGAAACCAAAAAACACAAATTTAAAAACAAAAAACAGCAGCTTCTGTTAAATACCAGTGGCCAATAACTGATGTATTGGAGGAACGTGTATTGGCATGTAGTGGCCGGTTCTTAGATGAAGAAATGGATTGGTTCCTGCACTTCAAAAGTTAGTCTTGTATGAAATAAAAGAAGCATTTCAAGTACTTCTGATGAGTATCTTGTAAGCAAATACATCAGTTTAAAACATCAGAAAAAAACACTATTGATTTAAAGATAGCATGGGAAAGGTGTTCAAAAGTCATCATTTGCTTGGTCTCCATAAGTATGGTAATGCCCAAAATAAAATAAAAAAATAGTGATTCAACACATACGACATTTGAAGTATGGCTGTAGATATAAATGTTCATGACATGAATAAAAGTGAAGTTCTCATGAAATAAAATACATAAGTAATCATGATGAACAACAGGCATAGCCATCTGTGACAAATTTCATTTGGTGTAGATATAACACACACATAATAAGTAACTATTTGCACTCGGTATTTTCATAACAAGAATCAGAATGAAGAGCAAGGAACATAGAGCAGTGGGGTTGGATCAACCATTAAAAAGACTTAAGCATGTGCTAAGAGCATCAAGGGAAAAGGGGCAAGACAAAAATAATAAACACATACATTTTTCATTAAGATCGAATGTTGTGTTGTCTTCAAATGGAGTTGCTCAAGCATCCTCAACAATTAAATAAAAATGTACATTCATGCATCATATATTAATATATATGAACCACCAAAACGTCTGTTTAATTAGAGGCCCTGGTTATCAGTAATCATAAATCCTAAACAAATATGATTGAAACAATAGTAAGAAAAAATCTTAAGTAGTTGACAGTGTAATGCCCAAGTTAGTGTTCTCTGACAGTAGTTGACAGTGTAATGTCCAAGCTAGTGTTCTCTGATAGTAACTGACAGTGTAAGTGTAATGCCAATGCTAGTGTTCTCTGATAGTAACTGACAGTGTAAGTGTAATGCCCATGCTTGTGTTCTCTGATAGTAGTTGACGGTATAGTGCCCAAGCTAGTGTTCTCTGGTTAGTATTTGACTGTGCATACCAAGCTAGTGTTCTCTGACAGTAGTTGACGGTATAGTGCCCATGCTAGTGTTCTCTGATTAGCATTTGACTATGCATCCCAAGCTAGTGTTCTGACAGTAGTTGACGGTATAGTGCCCAAGCTAGTGTTCTCTGATTAGTATTTGACTGTGCATCCCAAGCTAGTGTTCTCTGACAATAGTTGACGGTATAATGCCCATGCTAGTGTTCTCTGACAGTAGTTGACGGTATAGTGCCCATGCTAGTGTTCTCTGACGGACTGAACATTATTGAAATGTTTTTTTCCCCAATGTTAATTGTTTCAGGTACGGTTATAAAGCAATAAAAATAATTTCATTGGCTTTTATTCCTCCGCTAGGATTTAGCTTCATTCCTGCTGCATATAAATATGTTATTAATAGTTAAATATTTATTTCAGAATCAGTAAATTATGGATCCACCAATCTTTCCCAGATTTAAATATGTGACAAGCATAATCTGTTACCAAATTACACCTCTAAAAGATATAGAGAAATAATCAGTCAATAATATTAAAACCATCCAAATATTCCTCATGTCAAGTGTAATAAAAGGTTTTAAAGTTAGCATTTAAATGTTGAAAATGATGAGGTCATAATTAGTTGTTAAAGTGAGAAAAAATGAAAAATTAAGATCATTCCATTCCTGCTCCATACAAGAAAGATTATGGGACACACAGGATAATGTAATCATTAGCTTATGGTAGTGGATAGATCACTCAAAATACAGGACTCTATGATAAATCACAGTGTATCTTATTATGACAATGACTTAACTTGTGTACATTTTCGTGTAGCCAAACTCTTCAGCACTCCATGCCTTCTCTAAGAGTGTCCAAAAAAAAATCAAACGCCCAACTGTAATTCATGCTAAATACTTCTATCAATGCCAGCTATCAATGTGGAAAAATGCATGAAGTCATGCAAATATACACATACAATAAATATATAAATTGGATAAGCCTATCAGTTAGACGTTCTTTTCCCATTTTTTAAAAAAGGACAACTGGTGGGGAAAGAATAAATAAAAAAAGTTAATGTAGTATTGGGAGCCTGCAGCCCTTTTCTTGTTCATAGACTCTTGAAAGGTTAAAAGTTGAAGCTAGATTTAGTTTGAAAATCATGGTAATTTAAAGCACATTTAATTTCACTGCGTGAACTTCTCTCTATCAACTCACTAAATGTCAACAACTTAAAATAAGAAAAGAACTGCAGATGGCCAAGTAGAAAAAATGAAAGTGGAGATCAAATTTTTTTAAAACATTTATTTAAATCCTACCCAGATTATATGATTCTAAGATTAGCTCCGAAGGTGTCTCAGAATCCAGGTCTGCTTCTAAAATACCCAGTGGGTCAAGCTTGCTGATACCATGACCTCTGATCTATATGCATATCATTGATTAAAACAAAATTGACCAATCAGGATATTTCCTCTGATGAGAAACATTGAATGTTAAGTTGTTAGGCAATTTAATTTACATCAACCAAGTTCATTTTCAACATAATTGTTTTAAATACAAAAAAATGACATTCAAAACTTAAGATGACATTCAAAACTTATTGTCGTATTTTTCAATGTCTATTAATAATTTTCTCAGCCAGCGTACACAATGATACAAACAGTAATATCATGTCCGGGTACATGCAGGGTCGTGCCAAGGAAAAGCTGCACCCAGGACAAAACCTAAACATCCCCCCTTTCTTTCATCAATAAACGATAAAGACCAGGGATGTCCAACCTTTCAGCTGCCCTCGGCCACTTCTGAAGAAGGCTCGTTGTTTTGGGCCACACATAAAATACATTAACACTAATGATAGCTGATCGAGAAAAAAAAATTGGTTTATGAGTGTTAACATGTTTAAGCTATTTGAACTTTATTAATTTTAATTTTTTTTTTACAATAAAAGTAAGCTAATTTTTAGACAAGACAGCAACGTGAAAGTAGTGAGATGCCTGATATTGTTTTTTGAAACACTAGTGCTTCCATATTTAATTCAATGGAAGTAGTTGAAATTCTCAGTGAGTTCTCAAGGTGCTCATCAGATATTTGGGTTCTAGTTTTATTGTTTGTGCGTTTCAAACTTAAATAGCTGCTCACAAATTTTGGTGCTTCAAAATAGCGATGACATGAATGAGGTGTGATTGTAGGGCGAGGGATATTTTTCTCTTGGAGGATATGTCTTACAAAAGTCCAGTAAATAGACTTGGTTTTTCTTTAAGTTGAATGTCAGATAGTAGCTTTCAGAATTCCATTTGAAAATTGGCAGGTAATATGTTTATTTATGTTCACTGACAATGGAGTCGCAAATATGCCAAAAGTTTGATAAGTTTTCCAGAAATGTTAAAATCTGTTCTCAAATTCCTATGAAAAGCTAGGCTGCCTATTTCTCCTTGCTTACTGGACCGTGTTTGACCCACAAGTCGAAATGCATAAAATTGTTTGCCTTAATTTGTGATTGCCATTGTTTTCAGTTTCATTTCAGACACTTTTATAATTTGGAACATTAAAATTGATCATTTGGTTTTGACCATGAAGACATAAGTTTTTATCATTTAAATGATCAGTCAAGTCTACTTTAAAAAAAAAAAGTCAATCTGTGACCCATTTTTCAAATTCAAGTACTGGCATATATTTTGTTTTTGATTCCATAAACAAATTGAAGATTTCAAAAATCATTTATCACTAAAACAATTCAGTAGTTTTACTCAACTTGACCAGCTAACTTCCAAAACAGTAAAGGATGTCCCTATGGTCAGCATCCATAAATTTAATGAATTCCTGGACTTTGAATGGCAATCCCTTGGCCCTTATGAAATTTACTGACTATCTGTATGACGTTATCCATCTTTAAAGCTGTGGCTCATAAATTTTCTTGCAGTACTATGCAGGGATATTGCACCATACATGAATTTTTGGAGGACATTGAATCAACGTCTATTAATTTTATTATTTTACAAGTCTATCTCTTTTACCTATCACCACCAGGACAACATCAGTATCTATGCCAGATATGTTAACAATGGACAAATAAAATCTTTTTTATATACATCTTTTAATGTTTTGCATAAATTTATTGGGTTTGGTTGTTCATTTAATGACACTAAAGAAGCCATTTTTTTCAGTGATATTTTATCAAAACCTCTAGTCACAATCTGATGATAGTAAGTTTATGATCTATTTATAGGGTCCGCTTTCATAACTGTCCTCTGCCGTGGGTTGGACACCCCTGATAAAGACCTATATAAACAAGGGGATAATTGACCATTCTGGCAACCCTCAGATTTTGGCGTCCAAGGGGCTGCCCCCCTTTTCAAATCCCTTGATACAAGAGCATTTAAAGTTTCTACATATATATGCAGACACATATCTCTAAGCATCCTTCTGCCTAAAAAGTTTATTGCATCTATGATTGACTTAACATTCACAATCACTGGAACTAACTTAAAAGTTTACCAACAAAATCTTTTTAGAAAATAACTGGAAAATAATGCAGTAATATTTTAACTGAGCTGTCATCCATGTTGGCCCTATTTAGTGATGATAAATAACTGAACAAGAAACATGCTCTTCATATATATCAATAAAATGTAAATTTTCTGAAAATTAGCTGAAACTATAAATGACTCAAATCAGTACTTTTTGAAAAGATGAATAATATCAACCTGATTGTAAACAAAATTCATTTTATTGGAGATTATTTAAAAAATATCTTAAAGGAATTGTTTTTTAAAAAATGTATGTGTAAATAGTAATTTACAGGTATGCATTTTAAAAATTCTACATTAAAAACAAGCCTCTAGCTTCACTACTGCAGTAGCAGTGGATTTTTATCACAATGAAACCTCAGAGTTGTGCTTCCTTGCATTTTGATTTGAAACTAAAGGTGAAATCCCAAGATGGTTTCAGGGACCATCAAAAAGTGGAAAACTGATATGGAAATGAAATGGCTTCCAAAACTAGAGTCCATCAACACAAAGCAGATTTACACTTTTTAGTACAATTAGCTAAATGTGCTCAAATCCACATTCAATTACTGTTCAAAATATTTTCTATAGGAAGATAATTCTTTTACAATTTGCATTTGGGGACAAAAATCTGGAAAGATAAAACATTAGCTCTTGATAAGCAATGCTCACCTTGTCATGGAAATTTACCAAAAGGGAGAAATGTGGAATTTCTAAGCACAATAGGACATTTCAACAAAAGGTTAGGACAGGGCTTAATTTCTGTCACTGTCCCAGGAAGTTCATTAACAACCACTTTTGGCAAACATGTTACCTATTTAGTTTTGACAGTCAATAAAATATAAGAAAGTAAAAACAGCTTAAATTCTAGAGAAAATAAATAGTGGAACAAGACATGTAGAACGTTTATAATAAAAGACACGACAATTAAGCTGACATTTCCACTAGATGTCTTCTGCAGCAGACAATACAATAAACACCTGATAAATTAAATTTAACAAATTAAACTTATGTTTTCAAAGATCACAATAAAGTCAATGTAGCTCAATGTTCAGAAAAGGAAGCCTAAACATATCTTATTCCACTATTTATTAACTTTACATGGCTTGAATGGGGTACCTCATATTTTAACTTTAATTGCTGGAACAGAGACAAAAATTAATAGAAGGAAATAATCTGACGTCATCTAAAGATTAATTAAAATATGATTAACCTGAAAGAAAAAAATATATATTAGGCGTACAACAACAACAACAAAAAACACCAACCTGATAGGATCTTATTATAGATTGTACAGAAAGGTGATCCTCAATAGTTTTCTCATCCACTGGCATGCCCTGCTCTACTGCATGCCTTGGCAATGGAGCAGGGACTGAGGACATCATGACTGCTCGTAGAGTTGGAGGTGCAGTGTACGCCTGCCCAGGAGGTGCACCTTTGGCAGTTTGTCGAAAAAATGCATCCCATGACTACAAAAGAATAGGAAATAACTAGTTTAATATGTAGTTTAATGATATAAAAATTACTAAAACTATGGGATTAGACAAAGTTAAAGCTTAATGGAATTGTCCATGCAAGACTATAAATAATAACTTAACTGACTGAAGCAAGTATTCATTACAAATATTTCTATACAAAGAGAAGTGATAAAGCTATTATAGTAACCTCATGAAGTCAAATATAAATATATTTATATAGCAACTATCTATTCTATAAAGCTCAGTATGGCTATGTTTGTAAATTTGTCGATTGATCACAAGAAAATCAAATAGATCACAACCAAATTTGACATGGCCATTCCTCCTGACCTAAAGATAGTTACTGGATAGTGTGGTCATAATCCCCTTATCCCAAAAGCTGTAATTTAAAAAATAGTAAAATGTAGAGGGTTAGGAGTAAACAAATATTGTTAATTGACCTTAAGGGGTTCAAATAAGTTATTTTTAGTTTAGGTATATTCAATAAGCCCTTATCCAAACGTTTATTAAAGTAAAGTTTTTGGTGTGATTGGTGCACATATTTTAAATAAAGCATTATTCAATATGATTTTAAAAAATATTTGAAATACATTTTTCAACAAAAGATTAGCAGCTTAATGCAATTATATTCTTTAAATATACAGAAATATGTGTCGTAAGATTTTAAGAAACTACAGTTAATTGTGTGGTATTAGGGGTGTTTTACATAAGATTATAATCAGGGGTTTATATTAAGGGAGCTTTGGTATAACTAGGGTTTTACAGTCATAAGTGTACTTTTATTAAACAAATTTGTTTACCACCTTCATATAGTAGATGTATGTGGATAAGGAAGAATCGCAAGTTTATGGATAAGTAACAAATCAGCATTTAGAAAAACTATGTCAGTGAATGGGTGGGTAAATTTTATGAGCAAAGCAATGTCTCAAGTCACAATTCATTACACATGTAACATTTCAGTCCATAGTAGCTTTACCTTTTTTAATAAAATTATTTACAGGTACATTCATTATAAACTTCTGAAATGTCACACACAATAAGTTTCTGTCTTGATTTTTTACTGGGATCAGTTCATGATATGCCAGTTTATTCACTGTTGGAAATATTTTTGCTGGGTGGGAGGCTGAAAAGTTTGGAGACCCCTGATCTAGATCATCGATTATCGCTATGCTTTCTGGCAAACCCAGAGGCCGTCAACATAACCGGGTTCTAATGTATGTAAATGTTGAATTTTAATTAATTGTATGTCTTAAATCAGTGCTGTCCAACCTGCGGCCAGTATGACTGATTTTAAATGGCCCGACAGAGCTTGAGAGATTTTTACCATTTTGTGTAAAAAATTAACATGTTAAATTGAGATGAAAAAACAAAACAAAGACATTTAGTGATTCAGTATTTTTGGGAAATTCCAAAAGAGCACAGGAAAAGTGGTGGCATATGAAAAAAGAAGGGGTGTGGCAAAAGGAGAGGGATGCTTGACAGTTAAGAGTAATTTATGTTTATCACATCAGCAGATCAAAAATGTGGACCACATGTTATAAGGACTGGGCTTCATGGGATAATAATAAGAAAGGAGTTAACAGATGAGATCTGGGGTACTAAAGGTGTGGCAGCTGACTGCAGGGGAATGTGAACCAGTTGAAATGTAATAGGCAGTCTAAACAGGTGGGGGGTCCGTATGTCTATCCTGTATTTTTTAGATGAAATCAGACCAGTACCTGGTATTCAGTGATAGGAGTATGATCAATTCCAAGAGTAGAAAGCAGGATAAAAGCTGTGTTTGTAGTTAGTGCAATTCGGGCAGGGATAAATTCTGAGGGACAGTACTAACGATTCTTGAAAGCATTTTTATTTCTAAAAAGATAAAGCTAAAATGGCAAATAAAAAACTAAAAGTTACAGGTGAGAACAATACTTTTAACGCTTCATGGGAACTGGAATTTTTGTTTTCATTGTTTAATGAGAAACCAGTGTGCTTGGCGTGCCAGAATTCTATTTCTGTTATGAAAAAGGCCAATTGTAGAGACACCACAAGTCAATGCATGTAGATTTTGAGAAAGAGTATCCAAAAGTTATTTCTTTTAAAAAAAGATCTGTATGGCAGGTGAAATGTTTTTTGTCTGATTTTGAGCGCAAGCAACTGTGCTACTGAAGCTTCTTTTAATATTAGCTGGATATTAGCCAAGAAGAAAAAAACATAGTCAGCTGGTCAAATCGTTTAACTTTGTTTTCAAGAATATGCAGATTCGTTATTTGCTGAATTTAAAAACAATGTTGTCCAGCCTAAAATACTAACTGCTATAAGATATTAAAGATAAAGTTCTTTTGGCGCCATGGGCCCAAACAGTAAAAATTCAAAGGCATCTTTTCAAATTCCTTTTGATTTTAATGTGATAAATTTGAAAAATTAACATGAATATTAATCTGAAAGATTTTTTTATCTTAGTGATACCTAAAATTCCCGTTTTGGAATGGAGATCCTATTTTATTTTCATTAATAAATGACCATAGCTTTGGCTTTGGTGAATAACTTTTTTTAATAAGATTTTTTTTAAAGTTAAATTTGTCTTTAAATCATGGTTTTTAGCTGTGCCCAGCTTGAATATAAATTGAAACGGGAAGGGCCCCCAAATCATTGTTTAAAAAAAGCCGGGTATATTAACTAGTAATAAAATAAGTAGTGCAATATAAAAAAAACAGTGGCAACAAATATCTTGATGTACAGAGAATATTACTTAACTAAATTTTTATCATGACACTTCAGTTACATGTGTTTATAGCAATTAACACAACTTAACATTTTATTGCTAGCAGCCATGTCAGCTGCATACAATTATAGATGCTGTAACATTTATTAGCAAGAAATTATATTTTTTAAGTTTTCACAATTCCCTTAAAACTGTTCGTTTTTTAGCTTCACAGAAAAATTTTAAGGCTCCACTAAATGATTGCAATCATCTAAGTTTATAAATTTGTCCTACCTGCATGCCCTAACTTGTACAGATCTTAAAAATTAGCCAAGATTGCACAATTATCATTAAAAAAGTATTTCAATATTATTTATTTAACAATATGCTGACAAGATAAGATATTTTTTATAGATCCAAACAAATGGAGATTAGTTTTTTCATTCATCGCACATATTTTTTCAGTCCTGAAAAATGCTTGTCCGAGTTTTCCGTTGATCCTTAAAATTAGTGTGTAGGGTGGGGGTGCTGTGGTTTCAATCTTACTAGTAAATATCAGTTTTTTTGTGATGGGATTTGTTTGTTTAGTTTAATAATTTCTAAACAAACTAATCTACAACAACAATACTAATTAGTCTGAATGTTATTTTAGAAACAAGATAAACAGTCTGATCTTTAAAAGCAATTGACCTTAACCCTTTAAACCCCTTTACATGTTTATTAATTGTACTTGAGTGATAAATGCATCTAATTTACTTGATTATTTCAAGCTAATAATGTATGTATCACTGCTTGCCAGGTTAGTATAATACATTGCACCCAGTAAGGCCTCAAAGGGAAATAATGCTTAAGACAGGTTCTTAACCAGGGAAGCCCACTATCCCTTTACGGTGTGGGAGGCAGTCAGAGGGTGTAGGACGAGCCATACCGTGAAAAAATCTGGTTTATTTGCATTTTACTAGCATTTATAATTGCGAGGGTGCATGAAATATGTTTTGAAATCGAGATGGGGATGCGAGGAACTGCAAAAAGGTTAAGAAACCCTGGCTTATCACAAGCAACTAATTTTCTTTTCTGTCCTCTTCCAAATATCAAATATCCACTTTCAGTAGGGGAAAGTTAACAAGCATGTTTTTCTTGCCTTCTGCCCCATTATGCAATATTTAGTGACACCATCAGATAATACTATTCTTGAAATTATTGTTATATTTAAAAACATTCCAGGTTTATTCTGGAAGATGAAACCGAAATAGTAATACTACAGCAATTTTTTTTGCAGACAGAAGATTTTTTTTATCTCACACAAAGTTACTGCTATCTTCCATCTTTGATGGTTTGAGGTATTTCACTCATGATTGACCTTCTCCCCATATATACCTGTTTTATGAATACTTCACAGACCAGTCCATTCTTTCCAGGTATTTACCCAATTTTCAAGATAACCACCTATATATTTTAAATCCTTAAAATTCTTGGTGGAAATCTAAACATTTAATGAAGTTGAATATTTCTGCAACATCATAAATACCAGCTTACCTTATGTACACTGTTAGGATCTCTTTGCCAAGCCTCATACATATCCTCGATATAAGCTGAGGAGCTGCCATTCATGAAAGGCTCAGCTGCAGCCTGAGTGCCGAAATACCTTCCAGGACCCATATCTCGAGAGCCCCCAGAGCTAGATGTTGCATAGCTGCGATATAGGGCTGGCAGCTCATGGAAGGAACGACACTTTGAGTAACGTAGCAACAGGTCTTTGATGCGATGCATCATAAAACCGTAACGTCCTAGCTACGTGAAAATGTCTTATATTATGGCAAAAGCTGGGGTTTGACAAAGCCAGTATGACTTCAGATGGCACAGATGTTAGACCAACCGATTAATGGTTATCAATTCTTCATTCACAAAGAAATGAAGACTGTCAACAATATCTTTTGGGGTCTGAGGATGGAACAAATAAAAAACTAATTGTTAATTTAAATATATAAACCAATATATAGAATGTTAAATGCCTTTCTATGTTGAATGTAATTTTCCTTATTTTTATTCTTTTAAGTTTTCATTAGCCGCCATAGACCCTGGATAATGTTTTACACCATGTCTACTTGTTTGTTCTATTTAGTCTTTAACCCACGAACTGTAGTCGGCCGAAAAAAATTGGCCGATATTCTCGTTCTGTACTGTGGCAGCTGATAAAAAACACTGTCAGATAGCAAATTCCAATCCAATATTTAACCGGAATCATAGCCACTTCCTTTTATTAATAATTAAATCAACTTTCGAGTCAAGCTGTTTCTTGATAACGTACCAATAAGTATTTTTTAATCAGAATTTTATATCGCTCTTTTTTTTTTTACACGCTAAAATGACTGAAGCTATGACTGGGGCTTCAGTGCGAGAACTAATATAAATATTTTTGAACGTTTTTTAGGAGAGGATTTAAGTGATACTAATGATGATTTTAACATTCCCCATGAAGATCTCAGTTAGGAATTTATTCTAGTGCATCTGATTCAAGTCTTAGTGGTACTGAAGTAGGCCTACTGTTAGACTTCGAGCCAGGCCCGGAGGTTGGGCAGGAACTGACTGAATTTTAATCACAGAAGCTACAGATTATTGATCAGAATTAATAAATTTTATCGTTAAACAATCCAACTCAGTTCCCCAGTTCCTTTTAAATGTTTACTAGTCAATAATAACTATTTTGCCTGAGATTTTGTATGTTGTACATGGTTTTAGCTGTTGTTCCAGATTATTTTTTTCAGTAATAAATGACATAAAATTGCTAAAATTGCTTTCAGAGGTTTATTTTGTAATCAAAACCTTAGCAAACTATACATTTTCTGAAACATAAATGAATTGGCTAACACATTTGTAATTAGCATTTTAATGGAATCTATAAAAATTAATGATGTTATGAGCACTTGAAAGCAAGGCATTTTGTCGATTTTTTTTTCCTTGAGCACTCCAAGGTCAAGGACACTGAACAAAAAATTTGTTTCGGTGGGCAATATAGCCAAGTTTATCCCCATCCATTTACCTTTCTAAAAATATATACTTATTGGGGTCTTGTATCAATATTTCTATGTCATTTAATGCTATTTCTAAAGGTGCTCAAAAAGCCCTTAAAAGCTCCCACACTACAGAATGATCTTTGCCACAGTTTGTGGGTTAAAAGTTATCATGGGCTCAAAACCCAAAGCAATGGTTGCCTAATCTTATCAATTTATAATTATAAAAAGTAGTGGTTAAGACAAAAATTAGCTGTAATTTGATACCTTACCATACACGGAATTTTTAAGAATTTGGTGAATTAAATCATAAGAAATGAAATAGAAAAGTTGTAAGATCAATTTTCGTCTGAATATTTTTACCACTACTACATGCAAGATGTGTAGTCTGACTAGTTGAGTTAACTTAATTTCTTTTAAATCTTATTAATGAAAACAGATTATGGAAAGGTGACTGCATAAATTAAATAATTAGCTCTCCCTGATCAATTTTATCTTTAATATATTTAGAAGTACATCATATTAATGAAAAAATTGAATCCTGTAGGCCAGCGTTCCCCAAACGGTGGTCCGTGTACCGCAACGGTCCGCAAGCCTTACGTTACCGGTCCAGAGAGCATGAATATTGATGTTTTAATAGAAAGAAAATGTAATTAATAAATCTGGCACCGGTCCCTGGTGCAGTTTCGAAACTTGTCCACCGGTCCGTGAACCTTAACATTTTGGGAAACATTGCTGTACGCCATGCCATATGATTGTGCTCATTACAAATAGGTGTATTACAAACTTAATTTGAAATGGAGAGGACACTCAGTATTTACTCAGTTTTACTCTGTAATATTACTGATATATATATGATTAGGAATAGTAGCCTAAATTTACATTAATTAATTATATTGACACATTGACATTATCAGTATCACTATGTTAAATGTTACAATATTTACTTCTTAACTAATGCTATAACTATGGGCATGGGCACTATAGTATGGTTATAGGGTTAAGTTAATAGTAATAGGGGTCTACTGTTATACAGTTACATAATATGTCAATCAATGTCATATTGTCATATGATATAAATTATATAATAATATAGAGTATATTATACTACACGGTGTGACCTACTGAATCATTCAGTGAATGGTGATTATAATATAAATATAGTATAGGCCTAACACATATCAGACCTGAACTTGGCAGAAGTAGTAGGCCCTAACAGCCCTATACTATCCTTTATTTTTTAAGTAGGCCCATGTCAATGTCATAACTAGCTTTCCCATTTATTTCTTTTCTTTAGCCCAGTCACTGTTATTAATTACAGTAACAGCCCTAATCCTATGCCTATGCTGCCATCCTTTAAATTTAAAAAAGGAAATTCCTTTTAATTCTGTTTTCTTTGGACCAAAGTTTGGAAATCATTCATAAGTTTGTATTTAAAATTTTAGCCTATCCATTATCCACAATTAACTCAATTAAGTCAGAATACCAATATAATAAATAGGCCTCATGCTGTTAACAGTTAACACCAGTTACGAAATTTATAATAATTTATGGTACCGCAGCTGTAACTGTATCATTATATTATTAATTCATTATGAATGCACTGAACTGCAGCCTACTCTACAATTCGTGCTCTGGCTATGTTCTGCCTAAGGCTAAGGCTACGGCACCATGCATTTCTTAACATTAACACACTGTTTAATATTAATTTAATAGGTCTTACTTGGTGATTGTGTATACACCGTTACTCACGTAAATAATTTAAATTTAGCCTACCTACCATTAACACTTGAGTTCAAAGTAAACGCCTGTGTCCTCTTAAGTTCTACGGCAATGCTGATTTTTGACTACGGATAAATCCTCAGTCACAAGAGAGTTCGGACACTAACTAGGTAGGTTGTTGGGATTCGACCTCTGCGTCAAGGAGCAATCGAAATGGCGTACTTGTAAAGTAGGGGGGACACCAGTTCCCTAAAACAAATATTAAAAAAAAAATAATAAATCATACCAGCCATTGAAAAAATCAAATGCAAAGATATACCACCAATAATTTCAATTTAAATCAGGTTGTTCTTAAAGTATAATGAAAGGATAACATCTTAACTTGTAACAAGTGTTTCACTTACTTGACACACGTTCATGAATGCAAAAGGAAAACCCCGACTGAATGTGTACGATTGTCAGATGTGTGTGTGTGTAGAGTGACTATAGTGACGTCACTGGAATTATATTGCTGATCTTGCTTTTCATTGGCTGGTTACAATGCCGTAAAACACTTAACTAACCAATCACTGACAATTTTATAATTTCGGATGTGCGTCTGGGAATGCCTTATCCTCGACAATACGAGTTATTAACAGTTCAACCTAACTATTTTCAATAAATTCTTTCTACTATTTTATCAGGGGTAAAATTAGTATTTACTTATTATAGGTCTAAAAATACAGCATAATTAATCAAAATATAATTTAAGGGAAATTATTCATATATATAAATAGGCCATATATATATATATACATATATATATATATGTAGAGAGAGAGAGAGAGAGAGGGATGTGTTTATTTTATCAGAAATGGCTATTGGTAACCGGCAGGGTTTCTTTCAGCTATATCTCCGCCCCCTCTCCCC